ATATTTATTGCACAGCTACTATATGCCAGGCATCGTGCTAGATAGTGAGAACACAATAACATCATTCTCACTCACAGAGACTCACAGTTTAGTGGGGAACACAGATTTAAAGAAAGGTGATTCCAGGACAATGTGCTAGGAGCTATAACAGGGAATATGTCAACTGTCTTGGGAGCAGAAGGGAGGAGGTTCTACCTACTTGGAGGATTTCAGGGAAGCTTTCCTGAGTAGGCTTTCCAGAAGGTGTAGGAGTTGTCAGGGAAGATAAGAACTGAAGGGAATTGTAGGCTGAGGGCATGGGAGCTGCAGTCAGTAAGGCCTGAAGAGCAGGATTAGGGCAGTGGTGGTGACTCTGCTGCTCCTGGCTTCCCATTGTGTTTCTGCAGACGTGCCCCTTGGCTTGTTTTTCCTCTCTCTCCCACCCAGCGTGGCAGAGACCTCTGAGGACAAGAACAGACATCCCAGCCTGGGGTCTGAGAAGGCAGTACGACTGGCCAGGAGATGTCACCAGAGTGTCCAAGCTAAATGAAACATTTCTTTTTTGGGGGCTGGATTTATAAAACTTGAGTTGGCAACTGCGATTATTTAAGGCTGATCAGACACTGTGATTGGTACCATCCTATGTCTTTGATGGAATTTTTATGGACAAATAATTATTTAACAAATTAGGTTTCATAGATAAATTATTTACATTATTTTTTAAGAGATAGTTTTGCTATGTTGTGTCGACCAGGCTGGGGCTCAAGTGATCCTCCTGCCTCAGGCTCCCGAGTAGCTAGGACTACATGTGCGTACCACCATGCCTGGCTATTGTTTTTTTTTTTTTTTTTTGGTAGAGAAAGGTTCTCACTATGGTGCCCAGCCTAGTCTCAGACTCCTGGCCTCAAGTGATCCTCCTGCCTCAGCTGGCCAAAGCCCTGAGATTATAGGCATGAACCAACAAGCCTGATCCATAGATACAGTAAAATCTTTTGAAACACAGTGCTATGCCCCAGGCAGGCTGCTGAGATGTGACTTCCAGGGACCCAGCACCTGCTGAGGTCACCATAGCATAGAGCATTAGGTCCCTTGCTGCCTCAGGTCCTGAACGTCCACATGATCAAGCTGTCTCTCTGTGCTAAAGTGGGTGAGCTCAAGCTTTGGGCCCACTGTGACCTCCGTTCAAGCCCCAGCTCAGAGTCTTCCTAGCCTGGGGGACTTAAGCAAGTATTTATTTAACTTTTCTGGGTCTCTATTTTCTCATTTATAAAATGGGGATAATACATACCACAATGGTTTGGTGTAAGGATTAAATCAGGCTGGGAGTGGTGGCTCATGCCTGTAATCCTAGCACTTTGAGAGGCCAGGAGTTTGCGACCAGCCTGGGCAATACAGCAGCGCCCTGTCTTTACAAAAAATAAGAAAAATTAGTTGGGCATGGTGACATGCACCTGTATTTCCAACTACTTAGGAGGCTAAGGCAGGGAAGACTGGTTGAGCCCAGGAATTGGAGGTTGCAGTGAGCTGTGACGGCACCACTGCACCCCAGCCTGGGCAACAGAGCCAGATCCTGTTGCAAAAAAAAAAGCATTAAATGAGTGAATTCATGTAAAATGCTTAGAACACTGCTTGGTACAGAGTGTTCAGTAAATTGTTATTATTGGGCCAGGCATGGTGGCTCACGCCTGTAATCCTAGCACTCTGGGAGGCCGAGGCAGGCGGATTGCTCAAGGTCAGGAGATCAAAACCAACCTGAGCAAGAGCGAGACCCTGTCTCTACTAAAAATAGAAATAAATTAATTGGCCAACTAATATATATATAGAAAACATTAGCCGGGCATGGTGGCACATGACTGTAATCCCAGCTACTTGGGAGGCTCAGGCAGGAGGATCGCTTGAGCGCAGGAGTTTGAGGTTCCTGTGAGCTAGGCTGATGCCATGGCACTCACTCTAACCTGGGCAACAAAGTGAGACTGTCTCAAAAAAAAAATTGTTATTATTGGATCAAGCTGGTAAAACTTACAAGAGACTGGTATGTAAACCAGCTTCCAGTTTATTAACATCATTAGAAATGCAGCTGACAAGTGGCCTGAAAATCCATCTTTGCTAGTTGGCACATCCTCTCTGGGTGAGAAAGGCCACACAAGAAACCCCGTCACAAGCCAAAGAGGCCAGATGAGAGTGGAATGGAGCTAGGGGAGAGCGAGGATGGAGCTCAGGGGCTTGTGGTGTCAAGTTCTGATGGACTATGGCACCCAGGGCAAAGCTGCTGTGAGACAAGTCACCAGATGGGGTCTGCCTCCTCTGAGGCAGGGCTGGGGACCGACTGACCAGTGCTTGCTCTCTCACACCCTCCCCTCCACTGCAGGACTCCAGTCATATTCTGTGTGTTCCTCCTGTCACTGTGTTCTTTGGCTTATTGGGCCCTAGTCAACCTGATGGTTCTTAAATATCTCCCCAACTCTGACCCACATATACCACAAAACTACAGTTTATAATCTCTTCAATGAATTCTACATCTCAACCAGTTTTTGTTGATTACTAGTTTTCCTTTAATATAACGCTACTTGCAAGTTATTCATATGCTATATCTATGTTCTGACTGCACAGTTCATGGGGAGAAGGAGTAAGAAATCTTTGGGGAGGGGAGTTAAGAATGACTACACTCAAGGGCACTTACCAGTCAAGAAAAACCTGGACTCCTGCCCCGATGATGAGAGTCACAACCTGGAAGAAAGTATTGAGTGATGGAATAGATTGAGTACAGAATATCCAGAAAGAACTATAGGAACATAGATGTATATGTGTGCATGAATAGAAGAATTGGAAGAAATGTCTTTGCAGTGGGAGAGGAATCCAAGAAGGAGTCCCTTCTGGGATCAATGCATAAAGTTGGAGGAGTGAATTCCTATTCATTTTGGCTGAGGCACTATGACTAAATATAGTCATCCCTTGATATTCATGGGGGATTGGTTCCAGGAGTCCCAGCAGATACCAATGCCAGTAGATGCTCAAGTCCATGAAATAAAATGGCATGGTATTTGCATATTACCTACTCACATCCTCCTGTAGACTTTAATTCATCTCTAGATTATTTATAATACATAATACATTGTAAATGCTATGTAAATATTTGTTGTATTGTTGAGGGAATGACAGGAAAAAGTCTATACATGCTCATTACAGATGTAATTTTTTTCTGAATATTTTTCATCCACAATTGGTTGAACTCATAGATGCAGAATCCACAGATAGGGAGGGCAGACTGCACAGTAGTTCTCAGCTATAGAACATTATAAACAATATCTCACTAAAAATCAATAAAGTAGTGAGGGTCTCAACAAATACTAATTGTCATCACAATGACTAACACTTATTGTTTTTGATTTTTTTTTTTTTTTTTTTTTTGAGACAGAGTCTCACTTTGTTGCCCAGGCTAGAGTGAGTGCCGTGGCGTCAGCCTGGCTCACAGCAACCTCAATCTCCAGGGCTCAGCGATCCTACTGCCTCAGCCTCCCGAGTAGCTGGGACTACAGGCATGCGCCACCATGCCCGGCTAATTTTTTGTATATATATTTTTAGTTGGTCAATTATTATTTCTATTTTGGGTAGAGACGGGGTCTCGCTCAGGCTGGTTTCGAACTCCTAACCTTGAGCAATCCGCCCGCCTCGGCCTCCCAAAGTGCTAGGATTACAGGCGTGAGCCACCACGCCCGGCCTGTTTTTGATTTTTTGAGACAGAGTCTCGCTTTATTGCCCAGGCTAGAGTGAATGCCATGGCATCAGCCTAGCTCACAGCAACCTCAAACTCCTAGGCTCACGCGATCCTACTGCCTCAGCCTCCCAAGTAGCTGGGCCTACAGGCATGCATCACCATGCCCAGCTGATTTTTTTCTATATATATTAGTTGTCCAATTAATTTCTATTTATAGTAGAGACGGAGTCTCGCTCTTGCTCAGGCTGGTTTCGAACTCCTGACCCTGAGCAATCCGCCTGCCTTGGCCTCCCAGAGTGCTAGGATTACTGGCGTGAGCTGCACCCAGCCACTGCAGAGTTTTTTAACACTGGGAAACACTTTTACAAACATTCTCTTTGGCCTTTTCTCAATAATCTTGTGTAAATGGCTTCTGTTTAGTTATTCCCACTTTATAGAAGAGTTGGGGTAGAAAGATAAGTGTCTTGCTTAAGTTCACATACCTCTATGTGCAGAGATGAGGCAAGAACCCAGATATCTGGGCACCAGCCTTCTCACATCCAGATTGGCTGTTCTCCTCTTTGTTCCACAGCTATTCATACAATGGGTGACATTCTCATGTCGCACATGCCTGTGGGGCACACCCAGGGTCATGTGCCCTTCTGTCCTTTTAGGGAAATATTTTGAACCTGGAATGGAAGGTAGTGACTATGCATCTACTCTTAATTTGTTGTTAACTTGTAAAATAGGAAGCCCACTCTAGAGTCAGAAAGAGTTCCATTTGAGTCTGGGTTCTATCATCCATTAGCTGTGCGACCTCAGCAAATTAGGCCTCTCTGTACCTCAGTTTCCTGATCTGTAAAATGGAAATAATAATAGTCCTTACATTGTAGAGTTATGGTGACTATTATATAAGATAAGGAAAACTCTCATTATGGTTTCTAGCAGTTCAATAAGTATTAGGCTGGCCGGGCGTGGTGGCTCACGCCTGTAATCCTAGCACTCTGGGAGGCCGGCCGAGGCAGGTGGATTGCTCGAGGTCAGGAGTTCGAAACCAGCCTGAGCAAGAGCAAGACCCCACCTCTATTATAAATAGAAAGAAATTAATTGGCCAACTAATATATATATATAGAAAAAAATCAGCTGGGCATGGTGGTGCATGCCTGTAGTCCCAGCTACTCGGGAGGCTGAGGCAGGAGGATTGCTTGAGCCCAGGAGTTTGAGGTTGCTGTGAGCTAGGCTGATGCCATGGCACTCACTCTAGCCTGGGCAACAAAGCGAGACTCTATCTCAAAAAAAAAAAAAAAAAAGTACAAACACTGCAGCATGAGTTGGTAAATATTTATTCTAATTTAGGGTTTCAAAGGTTTATATACAGTAAAGCAGAAATCACTTTCCAAACTACCCATTTATTTAATATAAAGAAAACAGAAACCTAGAATTACCAACAGGGCATGAACTATACATATTAGAATGGGCTAAAATTGCACGGTGATTTCTGCCTCACCCCATGCGAGTCAGTGGGTGCCAGAGTCTCATGCTACATTCCTACATGTACGCTTTCTGATGTCTGGCTCAGTGGACGGGGAGAGCTGTGGGGTGGCCTTCCTGGGACAATCATCTTGAGCATGGCCAGGAGCGCTTACCTGCACATGTATGTGTGTCTCCAGCGGTGGCTCCAGGCTGCTGCCCTAATCACTTCTTCCATGAAATTATACCTTTTAGACCCATAGGACTTTACAGTTTACAAAAATTTTACTCAGTTTACATAGGACCTTATCTGACTCAATACAACTACCTAAAGAAGCAAAACAAATTGTGTTGTGCTCATGGCATGGATAATTTACTCAGGAGAGGCTGACTTGCCCGAGGCCATCAGTGTTAGAGCTGAGCTAATACCAGTGCATAACTTTTCCAGTATACCATGAGTTTTAGATTATTTATTTACTGAATAACTATTCAGGGAGCACCTAGCATGTGTCTGCCTTTGGGTCAGAACTCCTACTCTTCAGCTTGCTCTCCTGAGAGAAGCTTGTTCAAACCCTGTCCATGCAACTAAGTTTTAAGTGATGGAATTAACAAGCTGTGACTATTCTGCACATCCCATTAAGAGCCCAATGGTAAAAAAAAAAAAAAAAAAAAGTCCATAGTAGAACAGTGTGGCAGTTAAGAGCTGTGTCCCAGAGCCAGACTGACCTTGAATCCTAGCCCTGCCACCCACTAAGAGCTGTGTCCCAGAGCCAGACTGACCTTGAATCCTAGCCCTGCCACCCACTGTTATCAACTCTCTGTATTTCCTCATCAATGAAATGGGGACAATAATTGTGCCAGTTCATAGGATTGTCAGGATTGACTTAGTCAATACAGGTAAAGTACTTAATGACCATATTTATTATACAATAAGAGCCTAATTAATGTTATTATTTGAAAGTTCCTTAGAATGGTCTTGAAAGGAAACAAGGATAAGTTATTAAAAAAAAAAAAAAGCCCCTGTAACTTGCCTCTTAATGTTCCAAAGCTTTCATTTCATTTCAAAGGTTCTGGCTGAATAAGGAGTCCTCTCTAGTTTGGGCCAAGTTCGTAAGCCCTCGGCGTCTGCGTGCCACCCTCCCTAGTCTCACCTCCATCATCCCAGCCCCACTTCCTCAAGGCTGGATTCTCTCCTTCCATGTCATTCTCTGCTTCTTCTCAAACTAATTTTCCTAAAACATTCATTTATCAAACATTTCTACTGCACAGCTATTATGTACTAGGCCTTGGAGCAGATGCTGTGATGACCTGCCCAGTCCCTTCTCAGGAAGAAAGGACTTGTTGTCCTTGCTGCTAAGAGTGCCGAGGCAGAAAATCCTCAGCTGTCAGCCCCTTTGGGGTTTGCCTCAACTAAAGAAAACTTCCTCTTTCAAGGTCACACCTCCTTCTGGTAGTAGCCAGCATCCCAAAGCTGATCACCTCAGCAGAATGGAGGCCTGATTGGCTACCCCAACTCAGGCCAACTCTGCAAGACTAACCCAAGCCTTTCACTGCTGCTCAACTCTTCCCTCTGCTCCATCCTGTTTCCTGGCCCTTTTTTTCTATAGCTATTGATCCCAGGAGTACCCCCAAAACACCTTGCATGCTGATCTCTTCAAGCTGTTTCCCAGGAAACCCAACCTGGGACAGGCACAGAAGATGCAAAGATGAGTAAGTTACGGCCTGGCCTTCAAGGATGTTGAGGCAAAGTGGGCACTACAATCTTAATGATGACACGCAGCTCTCGGGGGAAGCACGAAGTGCAATGGAAGCCTAGTCGGAGGGAGTGGAATTGAGGAGTCCATCACTCCAGGTTCAGGGACTCCTAGAGGCCCTTCAGCCAGGCTGTGAAAGTTACAGCCTCGGCCCACCCTGCTAGCCTGCTGGGACTTCAAACCACAGCTTCTGACATCCAATCTGCACTCAGGCCTGATGCAGACCTGAGCTCTGATGTGGGCTAAAATTTGCCTGGAAATCAGTAAGAATGGCAAAATATTGTCCATGTCTAACAAATTTCAAGACATTAATAATCACATTGAAGGTCAGCCAGTAAATGGGGTGCTTGAGAGTGTGTGGCTGTTCACGAGTGACCTCTGTTCATACCCACCCAGGGATGCCCCCCCAAAAAAAAGTTACCTCCCACCCTTCCACACCAGATTCCTCTCTCCTTTCTTTGTCCAGTGCTTTCTGAAATGGAGCTGGCTGACACACTACCATTTTCCATCCCTCAAAACAACTGTCTTCTTGCAGCTGAATTCAAAAGGATCATTAAAAAATAAAGAAAAAAAGAGAGAAATATAAAAACAAAACAAAACAAACTGTCTTCTACCAACTCCATCTAATCTCTAAAAACTAGGTCTTTCTCAGATGGTGCAATTCATTTGGCCCACCTTTCTGAAGTCCTGCAGCATGGGCTTGTATTGCCATATATATAGGTCCTTCCATTTCTTTCATGGAGTCATAAAACTGGAAGCAAACCTGGAGATTATCTAATGCTGCCTCCTAGCTCAGAGAGCCCTTCTCTAAAGCCTGACGGGGATGAACGGTCCCAGCAATTGATAACTCACTCTCAGAAGGCAGCCTGAGCTATTAAAATCTTCCTTCCTTTGAGCCCAAACTGGTCTACCTTTGGAATGACTCAGAGAAATTTTACTTCTTTTCTCATGATAGTCCTTCAGATCAGACTGGTCACATTTCTTTTTTTTTTTTTTTTGAGACAGAGTCTCGCTTTGTTGCCCAGGCTAGAGTGAGTGCCGTGGCGTCAGCCTAGCTCACAGCAACCTCAAACTCCTGGGCTCGAGTGATCCTTCTGCCTCAGCCTCCCGGGTAGCTGGGACTACAGGCATGCGCCACCATGCCCGCTAATTTTTTATATTATATCAGTTGGCCAATTAATTTCTTTCTATTTATAGTAGAGATGGGGTCTCGCTCTTGCTCAGGCTGGTTTTGAACTCCTGACCTTGAGCAATCCGCCCGCCTCGGCCTCCCAAGAGCTAGGATTACAGGCGTGAGCCACAGCGCCCGGCCTGGTCACATTTCTGAGTGGTTACATATTGTATTTGTTAGTAAATCTTCACAACAGTCCTATAAAGAAACCAAGTATCTCTAGCAAGACTTTTGACTAAAAAAAAAAAAAAAAAAAAGAAACCAAGTACTGTCAAAATGAAGGGATTTGTGGTTATCCAGCTAACGTTGGTGGCCCCTTCCATTACCAGTAATAGAGCTGAGATTTGGTATTAGACCCAACACCAACTCCAAAGCTCTTCACACACAATAAATATTCATTGTCAGAGAACCCTTCAGTTGCATTTCGGAGGACTCCAAGGAGCTGGGAGAACTCCAAGAGGGGTTCGCAACTGGTGAGGGGCTCAGGGGAAAACTAAAAGCCTGGCAAAACAGGCAGGCACAGACCTCCAACAGATGGATCCCTGACTTGCCCATCTGCAGGCCTGAAGTTGTTGGAAGAGAATTATGGCGCTTGTGAGAAAGTTCTCAGGAGTGCTATGGGTGCTCAAGGCTACAGAAACACCTCCTCAGGACTTCTGAGAGGGAGGGAAGCTGAGGAGGCAGGCAGATAGGCATTCCTTCTGCCATGCCTGCTCCGTGGTTAATCAACAGAGCCTTCCTGCCTTTATTCTCCTTTACCCCCAAACAGGTCTCTCTCCCCCAGATACCTATCCCACATTACCCTCAGCAGCTCAGAGTTAAGATTCCTTGATCGAGCTTTATGACTACAATCTCCACAAAGCAATCAAACTCCTCCGGTTTCTTCATTGTCATTGAGTGCAAAGCAGTGTTTGTTTTTTTTTAAGAGATAGGGTTTTGCTATGTTGCCCAGGCTGGTCTCAAGCTCCTGGAGCTCAAGTGATCCTCCTGCCTCAGCCTCCCAAGTAGCTGGGATTATAGGTGTGTGCCACCCTGCTTGGCTCCAATGTCTCCATTCTAACATCTTCTGCATAACAACTGCATATAACGGCTAAGTCCTTGAGAAATAACATTTACAAATCATACCACCTCTGTTAAACATCTCTCCCCTCTTAAAGATGGCTTAATTTGAAAACGAAGTGTTCTATTTCTTCCCATTAGACCCTGACCTAAATTCCCCACTTCCTAGGCCCCTCCTATATAAAGGAAAAATAATACATATGAATTTGTCCAAGCAAAATAAGGACAAAGATGGTTTCTCTTCAGCCCTGAGGGTCCAGTTCAGAGAAGCAAACCTGAGCCAGAAACCACTGGAGAATGCAGCTGGCAAACCATGTGTGAGGCCAGGTTTCAGAATCAGTTTAACCTCCCAAGCAGTGGAAGCTGAGAGAGCACAGCCTAAGACTCCTCAGCTGAGGATGTGCCTGAGCTGGGGGTAACAGCACTACATGATGCCAATGTGCTGTCCTTCTGTCCCACTGGCTCAGCCTCCCCAAGCTTAGGCACAGGACCTCTAAGCCCCAGGGGCCTTGATGTCTCTTCCCAGGGACAAGGCTGGTGTTGCCACTGCTTCATCCATGTGAGTGATACAATTGTCTAAGGAAACCACCAACCAAAGAGTCCACACTCCTCAATAGCAGGCAACCACTGCAGCCCTGCAGTGATCAGCAGAGATGAGGCCAGGGAGATGCAGGGGGAAATTTAATTTACATAGCAGCCACGTGGGGCCCAGGCAGAGCTGGGGCAGTGGGGGAATCTATAACCCCAGAGGGCAACCCCCCCCAACCCCTTCCCCCTGGGAGACCAGTCCTCACAGATACTTGGATGGGGTTCCCCAGGTTGTGCAGAGGATGCTCCAGTCGAAAGGAGAGACATTTGGGAATAAGGCTGTCCCCAAGTCGGGTAAAGTCCTCAGCCTGGAGTTGGTTCCCTACATGGTGGCCCAGGGTCTGAGACCAGTCAATGTCCTGGGCACAGTCCTCAGCCTGGTGGCCCTAGAGGAAGCCTTCACGGCGGAACTGTTCCTGGAGGAGGGCTCGATACTGGTCAAATCCTCCTTCAACCCGGGTGACACCACCTCCTTCACACACCCACAACTCCCGGCACACCAGCCTGATGAAGCGTTCATCATGGGACACCAGAATCACGCCACCCTGAAAGACAGGAGAACAGGAAGTGCTCAGGGAACAGCCAAGGGGCTCTGAGGCTTGGGGAGAGGTGGTCAGGGTATAGGCACACTCACCCTGAAACTGTTGAGAGCACGACCCAGAGCCTCAATTGTCTCCATGTCCAGGTGGTTTGTGGGTTCATCCAGAATATAGAAGTTGGGGCTGGAAGGCAGAACCCAGGAATACGGGCAGTTGAGGTACAGGAGTGGAAGAAAATGAATCTTTTTGATACAAATGGGAGAAGATCATTTTCTACTGTGCAAGATGGGGAAATGGGAGGGCAAGAGCTCTAGAAAGTGAGGCCTCACCACGGCATGGTCATCTGAGCAAAGGCCACTCGGCTCTTCTGACCCCCAGATAAGCTGGCAACAGGGCGCATGGCCAGTTCTCCAGAGATGCCATACCGGCCCAGCTGGTGACGATATTCCTCCTCAGGCTGCCCTGGAAAAGGACTCCTCCCATCAGGTGGGTTCTTAGCTCAACTCCCTCCTTTTACCCTCCAACAACACCTTCAAGTGTCCAAGTCCTAACACCTGCGGTTGGGCGGGCTGCTCTGCACCCACCCCAAGGCAGGCCTGGCTGCAGGAGTCAGCCCTGGCCCCCCTTCTTCAACTCAAATCCCTAACTCACCAGGAAACTTGCGTGCCAGCAATTCCACAGCACTGACATTCAGGTCCAGCTGCTCCACGTGGTGCTGGCTGAAATAGCCAATCTTCAGATTCCTGAAGGCAAAAATGGAGGTGGAAATGGGGACGAAAGGCAACGACCATCAAGGAGTGTAGGCAGTGTGCCTATGAGTGTGTGCACAAGGGTGCAGGTGGGCCTTACCTATGAGCATGTCTGATGCCTCGAATAGGTGCCAGGTCCCCCATAAGCAGCTTCAGCATGGTGGACTTCCCAGCCCCATTCTCCCCAACCTGTAAGAAATATGAGAATGTTTTAGAATATGTGTCAGAAAAATAAATACCACATATTCTCACTCATATGTGAGAGCTAAAAAAAAAAAAAGTCAAGCTCATAGAAGTAGAGAACAGAATTGTGGCTGGGAAAGGTATCAGGGAGCAGGGATTGAGAGGGAGGTTTGGAGAGATTGGTTAACGAAGACAAAAATCACAGCTAGATAGGAGGAATAAGTTTTAGTGTTCTACAGCACTGAAGGATGACTATAGTTAATAATTTTTTTTTTTTGAGACAGAGTCTCACTTTGTTGCCTAGGCTATAGTGAGTGCCGTGGCGTCAGCCTAGTTCACAGCAACCTCAATCTCCCGGGCTCAAGCGATCCTACTGCCTCAGCCTCCCGAGTAACTGGGACTAAAGGGATGTGCCATCATGCCTGGCTAATTTTTTCTATATATATTGTTAGTTGGTCAATTAATTTCTTTCTATTTTTAGTAGAGACAGGGTCTCGCTCAGGCTGGTTTCGAACTCCTGACCTCGAGCAATCCGCCCACTTCGGCCTCTCAGAGTGCTAGGATTACAGGCATGAGCCACAGCAACCGGCCTATAGTTAATAATTTATTGTATATTTTCAAATAGCTAGAAGACAAGATTTTCACTGTTCCCAACACAAAAAAATGATAATATTTTAAGGTGATATGCTTATTACCCTGATTTGATCATTATACATTGTATACATGTATTGAAATATCATTTTGTATCCAATAAATATGTACATTTTATGTCAATAAAAAAATGCACGTGTGTGGTACACAGAAGGGAAGGAGATGAGAAGGGATCCCAGCAGTCCCAATAACTCCCTCAACAACCAAAAAAATATTTTTAGGGAACTATACAGAAAAATAAAAATACTAAGGGAAGTAATACTTGACTACCTGTTAAGTGTTAGGGATTTACTTTTCCCAATAACCAAATGAGGGAGATGTTATATCTGTTTTAAGGATAAAACGAGCTTGGTAACCAAGCTAGGAAATAGCATAGTTGTGATCTAAAGTCTGACCCTAAAGCCCATGCTCTCTCCTCAATGTTCCATGATTTGAGAAAACTCAGAACTGAGAGCAGTAAGATAAAGCACTACTCTAAGTGTTCATAAAATATCACATACCAGGCTCTTCTTTTCTGCAGGGCAGCCTTGTGCAGCCAGAGGACAGGGGCAGTACAAGTATAGCAAAGCCCATAGCCCAGGCCCTCACTCCTATTCCTGTGCATCTGGGGCAATCCACTCCACATACTGGGGTAAGAGAGCCTCAGTGCATAGAACAGAGAAACAGCAACCGTACCACACAGATGCGGGACTCAAGATCAGCAGAGACGGAGAGACAACTGAAGATGACATGTTTAGGGTCATAGTAGAAATCCACCTCATCTAGCTGCAGAATTGGTGGCGAGAACTTCTCAAATCCATCAGGGAACCTGCAGGGGGTGGGAGTGAGAACTATGGGCATGGCCAGAAGAAACAGCACTTCCCTGGCAGCCCCTCTGGCCCAACACTCACTTCATCACCACCTCTGATTCTTTGACCACGGGTTTCAGCTCCGGTCTGAGGAGAGAGATGGGATGGACTAGACTTAGGACTTTAAAAAAAATACACAATTTCTTGCAAAAGTAATATATGTTCAGAGAAACTTTAGAAAGGGCTTGGACTCCCAGCACTCAGACACCATTATTTTAGGGTATATTCTTGTAGTTTACTACATGCTGAAAAACAGATTCATCCTTTTTATAGCTTTTTACCTCCAGTTAATATATTGTAGTGTATGTTTCTATGTTACAAAGATCTAAGCCTTATGATTTTAAGCTCCCTGCCAGCACTTCTAGAAAGGGTCCTTCAACATTAAACCCCAGTATTTACTATCATTAGTCATTAAGGAAATGCAAATAAAAAAACCACAATGACGTTATCACTTCACACCCACTAGACGGCTAAACCTGACAGTTAAAAGTATCAGCAAGGAGAAATTGGAACCCTCATACATTTCTGGTAGAATATAAAATGGTACAGCTGCTTTAGAAATGGTTTGGCAATTCCTCAAAAGATTAAATATAGATTTACCATGTGACCCAGCAATTCCACTCCTAAGTATGTATCCAAGCAAACTGAAAACACATGTCCACAAGAAAACTTGTACACCAAAGTTCATAGCAACATTATTCATAATAACCAAAATAGAAAACAACCCAAATGTCGATCACTTCATGAATCAATAAACAAAGTGTTGTATATTCACACAATGGAATATTATTCGGCCATAAAAAGAAATGAAGTACTGACGCATGCTACAATATCGCTAAACCTTGAAAATATTATGCTAAGTCAAGAAGACACGAAAGGTCACATTTAATGACTCCATTTATATGAAATGTCCAGAGTAAGAAAACATAGAGACAGAAAGTAAATTAGCAGTTGCCATGGGCTAGGCAAGACGAACCCTCCAAGAGAGTGTAGAATACTGTGTATTCTTCCCCTGCAGGGAAGCAAAGTTGGCTTCTAGCAAAGGGGAGACATACAATGGGAGAGCAAGAGGTGGCCTGCAAAATGAGGAAAGAAATGAAGAGAACAGGAGCCAGGGCCTGTCCAAAGACACTGTACTTACAGCTTCTCCAGCATCTTGAGTTTACTCTGCACTTGAGAGGCCCTGTTGGCGTTGTAGCGAAACCGGTCAATGAAAACCTGCAGGTGGAAGAGTGCAGGCATTGGTCACACTCCCTTACTACTCCCAACTCTAGTACCCATGGGCTGGGCCACCCCAGCCCCCATGCCCTGACACCTGGATATGCTGGCGATATTGCTGCTGTGCCTCATATTCACGCTGCTGGTTGAGCAGCCTCTCCTGCTTGCTTTTGATGAAGGTCTCAAAGTCTCCGCGATAACCATCTAGCCGCTGGCTGTGTAGGTGAATGATGTCTGTGGCGATGGCATTCAGGAAGTTGCGGTCATGGGAGACGACTAGGATTGTGGAGGGCCACGTCTGAGGGGTCACAGGATGGCAGGCCCAGTTTGGGAGGGCAGTCAATTCCCAGGCCCCAAGGTATCTTGGAGGCAGACAATCCCCAAACCCACTCCAGCACCTGTAGGCACTCACCTGCAGGTAATTCTCCAGCCACAGGATGGCCCTTACATCCAGCATGTTTGTGGGCTCTGAAGAAGAAGTAGGGGGGCACACATTTGGGATTGAAGTGCTGGAGAACTATGAGCTTGGATGCTACTACCTTGCCCATCCCAAAGTCAGGGTGTCCCATTTCAAACTCACCATCTAATAGTAGAAGATCCGGCCTATGAAAAAGAATACATGGCATAAGGTTTCAGGTCAGTGACTCACTGCCGCCTCCCAAAGGCCAAGGCCTAATCTCCATAGGGCCCCAAACACAGGCCCAGGAGACTCACCTAGCAAATAGGGCCCGGGCCAGGGCCAGTCTCATCCTCCAGCCACCTGAGAACTCCCTAAAGAATGACAGAGCCACATTAGGGGTGGGTGCTCATTGGGTAGGCAGGGGCGGAGCCAACAGCATTCAGAGCCAAGAATGGTAAAGGCCACTCACCGGGTGGGCTGTTGCTGCATTTTAGGGGTAAAGCCAAGCCCAGCAAGGATGACTGATGCCCTAGAAGTGAAGAAATTGAAGAACCCAGTTGGAATAGTTCACAGAAGAGAAACGTAAAATCTGGAGGAGGGAAGGGGGAATTTAAATACCTGGCAGGTGCCTTGTCAGCCTCAATCTCCTCTAATTTGGCATAGATTTCTGCCAGCTGTGTAGCCTCTGAGCCTTCCACCCTGGGAAAAAAGGAGGAGAAAGTGCAATCAGCCTGAGTGGGGACAGTCAAGGATGTTCTGTACCCTATACAGTTGTAAAGCAGGCCACTGGCTGCCGTGTTGCTGGAACAGGCATAGACTACAGGAAGGATGTCCCTAAGATAATGAGGGCAATGGACACTGTGGAAAGAACAAAGGCTTTAGAGTTCCATGGTGCCCAGTTCCAAGCTCTGATTACTAGGATGGGCATTTGATTGTGGATTGTGACAGCACAGCAGGCACTCTGAAGGACAGCTATTGCTAGTTATTCCCTAGCCTGGGGCACTTACCTGCCAGCAGCAACCTGGGCACTGAGCTCCCGCTCCTGCCGTAGCAGGTTTTCTCGAACACTGTCGCTCTCCAGCACACTCTGCAGGGCAGGGGTGTCATCTCCAGCAACCTCCTGCTCTACATGCAGTAGGGAAATGTGGGCTGGAACCCGCAGGCTTCTGGTGGCCAGCATCTTCAGCAGTGTTGTCTTCCCCAGCCCATTCCGCCCCACCAGCCCGTAACGGCGGCCCCACGCCAGGTTCACATCAGCTCCAGCTAGCAGTACCCTGCAGGAGTGGTAGAAAGGAGACCAAGAACGCTCTAGAAATAGGTGGACAGCAAGTTTAACAATAGAAATCTAGCATTGTTTTTAGACTCATTTCATCTCTTCAAAAAGAATGCCACACCCCCACTACCATTCCCTCACCTGTCACCAAAAGACACATCAAAATTCTCAATTCGCACATCATAGGATTTGTTCTTGCCAGATGATTCCAACCGACTTTCCTTTCTGCTGCCTGCCTGGCTGGCTGATGCCTCTTCCAAAACTCTTAAGGGAGAAATGGATAGGTTTGAGTGCTCCCAACCACCCTTCTGTCCCACCAGAGACTGCTCTGCTCTCTTCTGAACTGTTCTTCCTCAACTCACAGAGGGTTGCTGGTCTTGAGTGTGTCCTTCTCTGAGCGCTTCTCCTGCTTTGCCTTCAGTCGAGCCTCAGCCTTCTCTAGCTTCTTTGCATTCACAGTCTAAGGGTCCAAACACAACCACTTCACTCTAGGGTGCAGGCTCAGAATGGAACTCCCCCACCCCCAAGAGAACATCTCAAGTAAACCCTCTTCATTTACCCATGATAAATAGACTCAAAGACTCAGGGAAAGATATAATGAGAAATCCCTCCCCCCCTCCCCCCGGCCAAAATATTCCAATATTTAGACAGTTAACTCTCATCCCCATCACAGACACAGTCCCCTCCCTTTCTTCCTTCTCCTCACCGAGGACTGTTCCCTCTTTAGCAGTCCTGGAAGTTTGGTTCCACAGTCTGTAAGCGATAAGAAAAGCAGTCACCTTCTCCCTGAAGGAAGGGAAACTAACATTTTGAGTGACTAATACAAACAAGGCACAGACACAGACGTTTTCAAGAAAGCCTTACAATTCAGGATATAAATGGTTATCATCCTCCCTGCACTCAAAAAATAAATCCTTATATAAGGATACAGAAGCTGGGGCAGATAAGCAACTCTTTCAAGAATATGCAATTGGTTAGTAAGTTGCAAAATTGGGGGTAAAACCAAGTCTGTCTAGCTCCAAGGCTCTTGTATGCTTTCTGCCATACTCAAGAGCTCCGAGAATCCTTCAACTCCACTCCCTTCATTATACGATTTTTTGCCCTCAGTAAAGACGTCAGTGAAAACATATACTAACTCGTACAAGCTTATCCTGTGTTAAAGAGATAGTAGGAGTCCTGAACTGCAAGAGGCTGTGGGAGGATGTGGGAGTGAGCTATGAAAAGTGTAGAGGACAGTTCAATCTCCCCTCATTCTCACCGTAGTTCTCTGTTATCTTTGACAACTGGATGGGGGCGTCCAGTAGCACCTGGCTATTTCCCTGGCTCTGTGGCTCAGCCCTATGTAGGTAGGAATAGAAATCGCAGGATTAGGAATTGAGGGAAAAGCTTTATGGCCATTAGGCCTTCTTCCCCCATTTCATCTCCAGACCGTTCGCCCTCCCTTCGCCCCCATCAACTCCTATTCCCTGGCACGTACAGGCGCAGAGTGTTGTACATGCGCTGGCACACGGCCCTGATGCCCGCGTCATCCTTGCTGTCCCCGGACACCTCTTGCAGTAGTTCCCCCACAGCTTCCACCAAGTCATCCACAGACTCGAAGTCCGCGCTGCCGCTGTGCAAGACCCCTGGGCCGGGCGTGACAGGACAAGGAAAAAACCGGGTAGGGTAGATATACAATCAGTTTGAGTCCCCGAACCGGGCCCCAGTCTGGTCTCCAAGACTCAACCGGCCCTCGGGACAAGAGGTCATGCAGAGAAGAGGCCTGGCAGCGGTCCCCGGCACAGCCCTCCCTCAGGCTTTTCCCCTGACCTCCACTTGGGCCTCCTCAGCCCATTAATTCTGCTTGGCTTACCAGTCACGTAGTCGAAGACCTGTCCGTCAATTTCAGGGAACTCGCTCCGCAGGATTTCAGCACAAGTCGCCATGTTCCAGTAGGGAACCCGTCCGCGCAGTCGCTGTGAGACCTCAGGCTAGGCCCGCCCCCTGCCCTTCCCCCAAAAATCTCGCCCCTTCTTCCAAAGCGCATGCGTATCGATGACGCAAGAAAGGCGCGGAATGCGCGGAACCCGGTGGGCGGAGTGAACAAGCTGCAGAAACGGCACGCAAGCGCTGCTCAGAGTCTGCGCCGGAACTGCTCTCTATGCGATTGCGCAACACCTTTTCCGCCGAAAGATGAGCCAGAAGTGCGGTTCTCGCTGCCTTCTGGGAGGTTGAGATTCGGAGGCAAGGGGAGGAGGCAGGGGAGCTCTCTTTTTATCAGGGAGTGAGGTACCGGTGGTCCGGCGGGTGGGAGCCTTCCCAGAGACAGATAAAACACACTGGCTTTGCTAGGTTTTATGCGCTTCTTTGAGGCGCGTCGGGTGCCGCTGCGCACCCAACCAGGTCCATTTTGGAACCCGTCGAGAGCTTTGCTGACTCACCCTGGTCCCTGCCTCTCGGAAGCCCCCGTGTTCAGTTTCGTGCGTTCGCCGGTCCCCAGGTCCTACCGGCTTCTCAGCCTGGTGGCCAGTCACCCTCTCCTCCACCCCACGCGACCTGTGTTCAGTCCTTTCACACTTCGTGACAGGTCAGCTGACCATTGCGAATTATGTTCTTCCACCACCCCAGGGCACAACCTCACCCACCGCCAAAGGGCAAGAAAACCAGGTCAACGAGGCTTGTATAAATTCACTGGTATTTATTCCCTACCTACACTCAAAGCAGACTTCTTTGCACCCTGAATGTCAGTAAATGACAGTAAAAGCCTATTTCCTTTACCAATTCCCTCAGGTGGAAGTTAAGAATTTACCCAAAATGACACTACTTTATATTTAACCTGAATATTATCCAACCTGGCTCTAAAAGTGGCACCTAAAATTACATCATTATCCATTTATTCTTTTGGATCAAACATTGCCATTGTGAGGAATCAATCTGGGTATTTATTTTACAGGAAACACAGGCAAAGAGGAACATGTTAAGTGACATCATGGGGATGTAACAGGCAAATTCTGATGGGGAAACTACAGAAGTCCACTTTCTTCAACAAAATTGCAAGAGCTGAGGTGAAACATATGGATTGTAAGACTTAAGAAGGATTAACCAACTACAGTGGACCCTTTTTGGATCCAGAGGGAAGTTGTGAAAATTTTATGGGACACCTGGGTTAAGTGAACACAGACTGGATGATATTAAGAAATTGGCCATGAGTCGATCATAGGTGAAGTTGGATGATAGGACATGATTATTCTACTTCTGTTTATATTTGAAATTTTCTAGTTTGTTTTTAGAGTTGAGGTCTCTCCAACAAAAAGATTACAACTCATTGAAAAAAATAAAGAGTTGAAGAAATCAAAGTTAAAAAAAATTAAAAAATAAAATATAAAATAGAGGTGAGGTCTCACTTAGCTGCTTAGGCTGGAGTGCAGTGGCACAATCATAGCTCACTGCAGCCTCAAATCCTCCTGCCTCAGGTATGTGCCACCACATCAGGCTTTTAACAGATTTTTTTTAAGTGTGAGAAAGTTGAAACTAAGCAAGGGAAAACTGGTGAGGGAAAAATCTGCTTTATGCATCATGTCCTTCAGGGACTAACTCACTACACAATTATCTGGAGAGGTGGAGGTATCAAAGGGAGTTGTTTTGGAAGAGGCCTAGGAAAAAAATTTTTTCTTTGTACCGCCCACCCACCCAAGTTTGGGAAACCTGGGTAAAAGGAAAAAGGATGGAATTAAGAGTGGTGGTGAGTGCCAGTAGTCCAAGCTACTTGGGAGGCTGAGCCAGGAGGATAAACTGAGCCTAGGGATACAAGACCACCTCTCTTAAAAAAAAAAAAAAAGTTAAGGAAAGAAGAATCTACCCTCAGGGTAACTGGGGCTAGTGGGGCTGCTTGCCCTTGAGGCTGTTTTCCTTTTAGGTAAGTCAGTAGACCTGGGCCAACAACCCTTGACAATAAGAGCTGGATAGTCCAGGAGGGGCCTAACAATTAGGACAAGAGCCTTGAAAGTATTCAGAATAGAAAATCTTAGGAAGAGCAGACCTATCAGTTCCCCTCCCATGTAACTCCCACATCATCAGCCAACAACTCCGCTCTACAGAGTTTATTGGGTTTGGAACTGGACAAAACCACACATGTACAAAATGAAGCTCACACTATCCCAAAGCAGAGATTGAGGGCTGGGGATCTGTTACTGGCCTTTGGGGGAGCTCTGAGGTGAGGGGCAGCCAACCCTCCCACTCTCGAGGTATGGCCACAGGGGTGGGAAGGAAAAGGGGCCCACCTGGCTTTGGTCACAGAACTCAGAGCCTGACACTTGGCCAGGACAGATGGATGGAAGAGCAGGAGCCCCAGAACTACCCTGCCCAGGGAGCCCGGGGCCTGCTCCATCAGTCCCGCTCGCAAAGTGGTTGGTTCAGATCTAGACTCAGGCTAGTGCAAAGGGAAGGCAGCAAAGCAAGGGGGAGACACTGCTGTGTGGTGGCGGGGGTGTGGAGAAGGGGATGGTATCCAAACGTGCGGAAGGTGTGGGGAAGTGGGCTAGCTGCCACAGGCAGCTAGCAGCGGGTTTCATAAATGCCACTGCGGCCAATGTAGCGCACCCATTTGATGACATCATGGTCGCTGTAGTTCAGCTTCGGTTCAAACACCTTCAAGTAGCGCACCTTGAGGCCAGAGGGTGCGAATGGCACCTGGGCAAGGGATAGTTCTAATTAGGAATGTGGCCTTCCCCTCACAGCCACTCTCTCAGACATTCTGTAGCCCTGTGCTGCCTCATCTCAACAGGTGTCTGAATGGCTGGGGCCCTGGAAGCTGGGGGAAACTCGGGTGGTAAAGAGCCCTCTGAGAGGTTACTAAAAAAGGAAGTATATCCTAGAGTAACTAGCAATCACCTTGGGTTTGAAGTCAGGCCCTGCCTATGACAACTTAAATCAATTCTTTTAATTATCAGGAGACAGCAACCAAAAAACTGTCTTAGAACATATTTATCCTGCTCAATATTATGGACTTAAAAATGTGGAGAAAATTATATGCTTAATATGTACAAAGCAAAGTCAGCCTATAAGTAAACTTTGTATCTTACCTGGAGTTCTTTTTTTTTTCGAGATAGTCTTGCACTGTTGCCTGGGCTAGAGTGCCATGGCGTTAGCCTGGCTCACAGCAACCTTGAACTTCTGGGCTCAAGCGATCCTCCTGCCTCAGCCTCCCAAGTAACTGGGACTACAGGCACTGGCCACAACGCCCAGCTTATTTTTTTCTATTTTTAGTAGAGATGGGGTCTCTTGCTCAGACTGGTCTTGAACTCCTGACCTCAAACGGTCCTCAGCCTCCCAGAGTGCTAGGAATATAGGCGTAAGCCACCGTGCCCAGCCTCTTACCTGGAATTCAAACAATCTAAATTTTTCAAAAAACTGTTTTATGCCAAGCTAAGAGAGTTTGACCTCAAATTTTTCTCAGTGTGTGAACAGCCTTTCTATTAAGAGGCTTGAAGGGGGAAGAATTGAGTCTATGAATTAAAGTAACTTTCCCTTTCTAGGCTTCAGTTTCCTCTTCTCTAAGGTGCAGAGGTTGATCTGAATGATTTCTAAGGTCTTTCCCAGCATACCCTGCCATGGCTCTGGGCCCTCCCCTGCCATACCTCAAAGTTCATGGAAATGGGGGGTCGAGCCCATTTCTTCTTGTCATTTGTGGGCAGAAGTTCAATCTCTGCGCTGATCTGCGATTCCTTCATGCCTGCCATGCGCTTGATCCTGGAAATACAGGGGCAACGGGCAGCAAGTACCCATTGTAGCTTGGGGCACTTGCCCATTTCAAGTGGGAAAGAGTCCAGGAGCTTGCAGGAGATGCCAGGACAAGGAAAAGTGGTCAGGACCTTGATAACCACTTCTATGGAACCTTGGGTCTATTACTCCTTTAACACTGAGGGCTACAGTTTCTGCTTAGATATTTTGGCATACCATCCCCTGCTCTGTCTCTTTCACAGAGATACTACAAGGGCAAGTGGGGAAATGCCAAAGCATCTTGAAAAACAAGTATGTGTGTGAACCCAAGTCCAAGCATGTACACATTCACACAGAGGTATAAGGGCTGAAAGTATAAGTAGAGACTGCTGGAGAAGGTATACTTACCCCTCCCACCCCACACTCAAAAGGATGAGGGTAACAAGAGGGTATACTATGGCAACTTGAGCCCTGCTATGGCCTCATGAAGGAAAGACTCACTTCCACACGATGGCGTTCTCGCTGGCCTTGTACTTGGCCTTCCCCTTCATGCAGATCACCTGTACCCCACTTGTATTTAGTGGGGTTGGGATCCTCACCTAGAAATGATACACCTGTCAGGGAGCTCTGTCAAGTTCTGACATCAGCTGCCTTTATTCCTAGACACAAGGTCTTCCTACTCCCCAAGTCCCTTGCACTCACCTCAATCTTCTGAGCCAGAAGTGAAGGCTTGAAGTTGGACTTGATGACCACCTTGACTTCTAGTTTGGTACGTCCCACTTCCCGCACTAGTGGGATCACCCGGAAAGGAAGGATGATGTCCTTGGTGGTACGATACCTTTGGGGATAGGTAGCAAGGTTGGCACTACAGAGTCTGCCCACTCCCCCTTCTCCCCTCTCTCCCCGCAGCACCCCTTGCCCCCTCACAGCCCAATGGCACCTCATGAGCTCAAACTCTCCATCTGGTGGGATGAAGCTGATGCTGCGTTCAGAGTCAAACTTGCTGAGTCGCACACACTGGTGGAAGGTGCAGTCATCAATGGCAATTGATTGCTTCCCGCTGCAAGCAAATGCAGAAGAGGGTTCCTCATCAATACAGGAGAGTAGCAAGTATCAGGCTGGGAGGCCTCCTTATCCCAGGTTGGCACCATAGACAGGAAAGCTGGCAGAATGTGGCTTTCTGCAGCAGAGGTCCCTGCCCAAGAGTTCAGGATGAGGGGAAACTTTGCAAGCTCATTATCTCTCAAGAGCCCTACTGCTTGGGACTCAGGTGTTTTAGGTGCACTAGGCAGAGGACATCAGTATATACACAGGAGGCCTTGGTCCTGGGGACCGAACAAAGGGGCTTGCTGAGAACAATCTCTTCATCTCTTTTAGCACTGTTGTCAAAAGCAACCAGCCAACTATACCCCTGGGAAGAGTTTGCAATTATAGTGGAAATGAAGTCCAGAAGGAACTGTGGTTCCCCAGGTCCCACTGAGGCCTCCAAGGCCCACCCTTTCCCCCTAGCTACCCTGCCTCAGGTACCTCTTGCTTGTTTCATCTGCTGTGCCTTTGCCCTGCTTTTCAATGACAATCTTGTCATTCATCCCAAACTTGCACTCAGGCATGCCACTCAGGTAGCTCTTCATCACCACCCGGCCTGACACATGGGCACTCAGCACCTGCCCTGGTGATAGAAGAGATAAACAAGGGAGCAGCTGAGTCTGGCAGGCAGGCCCAGGATCCTACCCTGACCCCCCTTCAGTTTCACCATGACAGGGCCCTCACCCTGTGGGGACATGAGCAGGTTCACACTCTCCAGCACATCCAGGAAGAGCTCATTCCGGCGATACTTGATGCCCTCTCGCCGCCAGCCGATCTGCCCAGTCACCTGGCTGGTGATCTGGGACTGCTCTTCTTTTGTCTACATGGGAGTAGCGACAAACAGCAATGGCCTTACTCCCCTCCCCTTTCAATCATCCTCCTGTCCCTATCCCCATTCCACCCTAATCCCCTTCCCTTTTGGTCCCCACCTGTAACCCATCTTCCCCCACAATCCCCACAGGGCAGGGCCTAGACAAAACAAGCAAAGCTGCAAGAGTAGAAGCTGAGGGAATAGCTTACCTGATGCTGGAGGCCGCAGGCCAGTGAGATGCCCACAGGAAGCAACAAAGGAGGCAGAAAAGGAAAAGGCTATGAGGCCTGGATCCTAGAAGAGGGCCCAGGCTTTCTCCTCCTAAGGAACACCAGGCCTCCGTAGCAGCCCACACCCCCTCCCTGCAGTGCAGAAGGAAACTGCTTGAGCTGTATTCCTGGTAACAGAGATCAGCTGAATTGGCTCTCCTGGGGTGGAAGGGCCACATAGGGCAAAACAAGCCTGCAGTTATGGCAGGAGGTTCAAGTCAACACTTCCTGTCACTGGCGGGAGGGCTCATGAGTCAGCCTGGACAAGGTCTGGGGGCCAGCTGTGATGAAGGGAGGTTGGACTCAACACTGACAGTAGTCTGGACAATTTGAATACCTGACTCTTAATGCCCTGCTGGGTGATGAAGGTTTTCAGCGCGCCTGTCTCAGAGTTTTGTGGGTAGCCAAAGTCCAGGATCTCTGCAAAAGGAAGGGAATCATCAGCCCCTGGACAAAGCTGAGGCTCGCTCCCTCATTCCAATTCCTCCCCTGGCCTGGACATGTCTGACCAGCACAGCTCCCAAAGACTGTGTGGGATCATCTGCAGCAAAATCTTCCAGCTTTGTAGCATTTACTCTGTGATTTGTGCTTCATAAGAAAACAATTCAGGCCAGGCAAGGTAGCTCATGCCTGTAATCCTAGCACTCTGGGAGGCCAAGGTGGGAGGACTGCTCGAGGTCTGGAGTTCGAAACCAGCCTGAGCAAGAGCGAGACCCCGTCTCTACTATAAATAGAAAGAAATTAATTGGCTAACTAATATATATAGAAAAAATTAGCCAGGCTTGGTGGCGCATGCCTGTAGTCCCAGCTACTCGGGAGGCTGAGGCAGTAGGATTGCTTGAGCCCAGGAGTTTGAGGTTGCTATGAGCTAGGCTGACGCCATGGCACTCACTCTAGCCTGGGCAACAAAGTGAGACTTTGTCTCAAAAAAAAAAAAAAAAAAAAAAACACAATTCAAATGTTTGATTTTTTTCAAATAAACATATCAACAGAAAAGTCACATGGCCAGTGGGTGAAAGGTCAAGAAGCCCTGAGTCCTGTTTTCTTTAGAAAACAGAGAGATGTTAGGAAGGTGGAAGGACTCACACCTATATCACATCCTACAAAGGAAAAGAGTAACAGTGCACCCCAAGGGGCATGTAATATCTCAACCTCCCCCAGGCTCTGAAGCAGCTGCTGACATGGAAAGCTGGGAAGTTAGTTAGTGAACTAAGGCCCAAACCACAAAGGGAAGAAGATGAATATAGTAGGCTCAGCCACCAAACCGCATAGTCAGGTTTCTAGCCCCCTGAAAGACCAAAACTTCCCCTACCCCACCTGCTGGCCTATTTCTGTGTTCCACTTCAAAGCAGCCCTTAGGTCTGGATGTCAACTGGCCTTCTCACGGGCATAGAGATCCTAGCCCAAGAGACCAGACACTCAGGAAAGAAAGTTCAGAGTGTACTGGAGCCTCAGACCTGCTCCCACATTCAGGCCAGCCCTGGTCAGGTTCATCCGCACCCTAGGACCACTGCCCCACCAGCCTCACCATCCAGCAGCTCATATATGAGCACAAAATTGTTCTTGATGTTTTCCTCGCTGATCTTGCCAAAGTAGGCAGCCATTACATCACACATCTTATAGAGGAATTCGAAGACCATGGCAGCGTTGACATTTTGCTTGGTGACCGCTGCCAGCCAGATGTTGGACCGCTTAACATGAAAAAAGCTGGTGCGAGCAATGTTGGTGACAGGGCTGCGCACCTGCTGCCGGGCGTGGATAACATTGACCCGAAAGGCGTCCACTGCATTTCTCCTGAGGGAAAACGGTACACAGAGGCTGCTCAGAGCCTAGGCAAACCTCACCCCCCTCCCTGGGGATCAACCACAGCTAATAACAGCCCCACCCTTCTCACTGCTGAAGTCTGACACTAACTCTAAAGCCAATGCCTAAACCACTAGGGTGGTTCCCTTATGATTCTCAGCGGAGGCAAGGGCAGAAGGCCTGGGCTGGTGTCTGAAGGCCCTGAAAAATGGGAAGTGGCAATAACAGGAGTGCAGATGTAACCTTAATAGAGTGAGGTTCACCAGGTTTAGAGACAGATGTCCCTGACTCCCAGGCCTGGTCCCAATTTCCCAGCCATACCCCAGCTGCCACCTCTTTGGATTCCCTGTAAGCTCCAGGCCCAGGACATATAGAGACCCTGCATCTTCTCTAGTCCTTCCACTAGTGACCCCACCAGTGGGGAAGGCCAACTCCTCCAGAAGTTAGACAAAGGCAGCGTGACTTCAGAGAAGGTTCTAATCTACTGAAGGAGAAGTATCAAGAGGCCTTGAAGGTGTGCCACCCATTGTGTCCAGGATCCAACTCCAGAGCAAGTTAAGGGAATGAAAAAGGATGAAGGAAAACAATGAGGGGGTCAGGGTTCCCCACCCACCTGTACCTGGGCAGCAGCTTGACAGGCCGCTTACCTATTGCTACAGCAGCCAATGAGATGGGATGAGAGAAATGACGCCAGCAAGAAGAGGAGAGTGACAGCAACAAGAGAGAGGGTTAGACACGTGACACACTGGGAGGGCAGCACACACCATGAAGTGGAAGCAGACAAGATGGGCAAAGTGGTGTGTGACCTGGCCTTGGCTTGCCCAAGTCCATCCAGAGCAGGAGGGACACGGGGGTTGGGGGGTACAGTCAGCCAGGTTCAGGCAGGCCAGGCCTTGCCACAATTCTAGCTCATGCCACACCACCAGCCAATGGACAAACAGCCACAAAGGTTAGGCCAGCCTATCAGCCAGGGAGCCAAGAAGCAAGGGGCACTGCAACAGGCCCATCCTGAGACTGTTTATCTCAAGCTTGTTGAGGAAAAAGAACAGGGTAGCAGGAATCAGAGGAGCCTAATCTCATTAGAGCTGCTGAGGCTAGGATAGATCCCTTCAGTCAGGAAAGAACAATGGCATGCAGGGTGGGGCAGAAGGAAAAGTAAGGCTGTGGCTCCTGGGTCTACTCTGATAGGCCTGAAAGGGCAGTATGGCTCCCTGCCCTTCACTCAGTGACCTAGAGAGTGCCTCAAGCTTGCTCACAACCTCTCTTCCAGGAATGGCCTAGAGGAACTGAAAAGAGCTGAGCCAGCAATCTGACTCCTGAGAAAGGGAATGGGAGAGGATTCACCAGCCTAGAGAGGTTTTCAAGAGAATCCAGTGAAGGTCCCAAACATGAGAAGAACTTCTGAGAGCATGGCTTAGATACAGCCAGCCTGGCCACTAATTCCAGCCTCTAGAGACAGATCTTGCTCCTCCTCAAAGGAGGAATCAACCTGCCTGGGCAAAAGCACTCATCTCTAGCAACCAGGCCTGTAGCAAAGGGAAACAGGAGGCAGGAAGGGCAGGAGTTCTTAAGGCTGTGGGGACCATGCCATTCCATAGGTCCCACCAGTGGCCAGCAAGCTGGCTGCCAAGCTAATACTACCAGACCTAATGGGAACCAGGCTACACTAGCTAAGCTTACAGGATGCATCAAGGCGTGGGGGTGGCCCAAGTCAAGCCTCTGGTGGGAACAGACCTGATCCTGCATGCTGAGGCTGAAGGAGCCGGCATGGTAGGACACAGCTGGCTCAGCCAGGGGACTCACCCGATGTCATCTCGGTAGACCCGGGAGATGAGCACCTCCCCCTTGTGATTATAGATGAATAAGCCTCCAATCATGGCGGCAGCTCAGTCTCCGCGGCCCATCGCTCTGAGAACAGACCTAGGACAGGCGGGGGCAGGGTAAGGAAGACCTCAGAACCCCTGTCAATGTCCCTTGTGGGGCTGTGCAGGTCACTGGCACTTTTTTCCTGACTCAACCCTCTAGTAAGTGACCCTGCAGCCCTCCCAGACATGCCCCTCCCCTTAGCCAGGCTCCAGTTCCTGTTTATCCAAAACTGGATGGGAGAAAGAAATGGAGAGGGACTTAGGCCCAGGATTCTAAGGCCATTTTGACCCTCCCTTTTCTGGGGCTGAGCCAGAGAGTAGCCCCAGCCCTTTCTTCACAGCGCTGAGCTCAGCAAGGATCCTTTTTAAGCCCCCTCCTGTGCAGACTCTCACTCAGGCTCCAGCCAGTGAGTCACTGAGAAGGCCTGGGCACCGCTGCCGCTGGTGGCTGCAGGATTGGTGGCAGAAATTACTCCAGCTGGTTCGGGCCTGGGGCCTCCAGGCACAACCTTTAGAGAGAGCATCTAATCTCTCAGACTCTACTACCCTTCAGAGAAGGCAGCAGGGCCTGAACCTCTGACACTCTAATTCACAGAAGTCTAAACATTCCAAAAAGGGTGTGCAGGGTGGGGGAAGGAGGAGGGAAGGGAGGGCTTAGGCCCTGACATAGACCCAGGAATGTGGCTTCAACCTCTTCCAGGCAGTCAGATAAACAGGCAAAGAGTAGAGAAGAAAGGTCCCAGCATGGGCAGACCACACTTCAATGACCCTGCTTATTACAGTTATTTCTGACTACCCCTCTTTCAAAAGGCTCTGGAGTGCAATAAAAATAAGGATTTAGGGTGGTGTGGGGTGGAGGCAGGTTCATAAAATTAAAGAGATCCTTCTAGCTGAAATTGTGATTCCAGGCCCACCAAGTAACTCATGTCTGGCGTGAGTGCCTATAAGCAAGGGGCAGGGATGTCTGAATGCCTGTATTATCTACATTATTTGGGTCAAATTAATTTAGACTGTTTGAAAAAAGGGGTTAATTTGGTTCTAGATTTCCTGGATTAACCCTGGTATTAATTTCACAGGGAGTAGTTTAGCAGATTTTTATGTGGCTGTCAAGGCCTCCCAGACCAGTGAGAGGTCTCTCAAGGTGGTGGACACATCCCATATCTCAGTCCCAAAGGGGCTGGGAAAAGAGATGTAAAATGGAGGTAGAGCCCAGGGCAAAGAACCAAGTCCACAGGTATCAAGTGGTAGGTAGCTTAAGGCACCAGAGGACGAAAGGTGGGGCCCTAGACAGGAATGGAATATTTAGTTAAGGGAAAAGACTGGCAGCCATGGCCAGGCAGTATACTCAGATGAGCCCACAGCAGCAAACAGGGGTGGTGGGGCACCTAAGGGAAAGAGTTTCCAGTATGGAAAAGATCCGGGCTTTGAAAAGGAAAAACCGACAGAGAGAGATTGACAGTGGTGAATAAGGGAAAACTGGGGAGATGGAGCCTGCTTTGGGGTTTAGGAGCAGAGGTATTAGGGAGTGGTGAGCTTTTTGCCCTGGGGACGAGAACATCGTGGAAAAAGTGCCACGCGGTGCTGGGACCATGACAGGTCTTAGGAAGAAGAGCCGCGGGGTGCCACCTGAGAGGAGGGAGTGCCGCACAGTGCGAGACCTGTCACAGTCGAGGAGGCGGCACAAGAGGGTGCCACAGTCCTAGGAGATGGGGGAATTGTCCTTGCGCTGTGGAGGAGGCGCGGAGGGCTAAGGGGGTTGTCACGATCCTAGGGAGGGGGGCGACGGACGGCGTCCTTGCTCTGGGAGAATTCCAGTAGGTCTCCCTCTCACGGGAGGTACCCGGCGGGTCAGGTGGAGGGCGCAGCTCCCCGCCCGTCCTGCAGCCGCACCCTAGGCGCCCCCGCCCCGCCGTCAGCTCCCTCCTGGGTCTTAAGGCTGAGGCCACTCCTGGGTGTGTGCAGCTTTCCACCCGGCGCAGTGCAGGGACGGGCAAAGCTGGGCGGAGAGGCAGACGACCCGCGGCGTCCTCCCCCCCGCTTCAGCGTAAGGCCACATACCCAGCTCACCTGGTGTCCAAGGCCCCTGCTCTGCCGGCCCGGCCACTCTCCGGATCCCAAGATGTCCGCCCGCCCCCGGCTCGCCTGCCCGCTGCCTCGGCTTTCACCGCAGTGCCGCGGCCCCGCCCCGGCCCCAGCTGCGCGTGCGCACCCGCCTCCCGGGTAGACTACAAATCCCGTCAGGCCCATCGGCCTTCTCGTTTACAAATTTAAGCTAAGTTGAGCAAGACTACAACTACCGACTGCCTTCGAGAAACCGCCCCCGTCTTGGGCGGGGATAGGCGAGTCCTTCGCCCGCCTTATCTGAAATACATATCATGGCAAAGGCCGCAGCCTCGCTTCGTTTTCCTCGCTTAGCATTCTGGGGATTGTAGTCTCTGCAATCCCTCCTGTTCCCATGTCAGTGTTTCAGAGAGCCTCAGAGGATTAATACTATTTGTTGAAGCCCATCTGTTGAGCCTTGCATTGCTAAAGGCCGTTTCTGTCTCCAGAGTCCAAGGACTAGCTGTCCTCTCTTTACATAGAAAAACAGCTTGGCAGTAGAAGTGTCTGTGCTGCATTTACTGCTTTCTAACACCACCTCTGATTATCCCAAGATTTCTCATATATTTTTCCAGACAGAGCCTTTTTCCAGGGATTAAGACCCAAGAAGAGGAGCAGGGAGGGAGGCAAATGCTTAGGAAGAAACTAATAGCTAAAGTTTTTCACGAATGTGCCCATGACTATGAACTCTTCCTGAAGGCCAGCTAAAGCTTTTCATGAATGTGCCAGTTTCTCCTCAGCTATACCTGTGTCACTATGTGCTCCTTTTAGTGACAGGTGTGTGTGTGTGTGTGTGTATGTATATATATATATATAGCTTAGAAAATGTTTGGAGAATTGAGTTTAGTTGGACATGGGCTTCGAGATTCCCTCTCTGATGAACAGAATTAATCTTTACATCCAAGCTGAGTGGAGGAGACAGAACTGACTCTCAAACATGAAAGGCCTGCCTGGTTCTTGCTGGATCTGAAGAAAATCTGTTGGCTTTTTTCTTTCTGTAGGCAGAGATAGATACCTTGCTGTCTTCCCTGAGCAGGATTGACCCTGTCATGGGAGAAAGGGCAAAAAAGGGCAAATGTGGTTGCAAACCATACTGTCCTTAGCAGCCTCTTTCCAGAAGCCAGGATGTAGCAGGATGAAGATCTGGTTTTCCATAAAGGGTGATCACAGTCTGAAGCCATTGAATGATTGAATACAGGCACTTCTAATCTCTGAACCAGCACTCAAGGCTTCACTCCTACCTTTTGTAAAAGCTTTATCTTTCAAACATATCCTAAACTGCTACCAATTTAGAGTAAATAATAATCATAATGATAATGATAATAATAGCTACCATTTATTGAGCACCTACTCTACTGCGTGCCAGGCACTGTGCTAGGCACTTTTCGTACAATATCTAATTTAAATCCTCACAACAACCCTGTGAGGTAGGTTTTATTATCATAATTTTACATACGAGGAAACTGAGGCTCAGAGAGGTTAAATATCTCTCTTATCATGGAACCAAAAAGTAGTAGAGCTGGAATTCAAACCAAGAACAACCTGACTCTAAATCCCATGCTCTGTTGAATTAAAGTAGAGGCAGAGGGGAGAGGAAGGGCCAAATTCAAAAAAGATTGTTGGAGTGGAATGGACATGATATGCTGATGAGTAAAATATAGGAAGAAGGAATTTAAGCCCATAAGTGTTTCTAGCTGGTGAGCCTATGTAGATTGTGATGAAGGTAACCAGGATTGGAATTCAGGAGGAACACACTTGGTTGGGGACATCAGTTTAAGTCCATATGGATACATCCATGGAGATGTCCAGTAAGTAATAAAAATACAAATCTAAAGATTGGGAGAAATTGGGGTTGGAACTATGTATTTGGGAATCACCAGCATATCAGCAGCAATTGAGGACATCAGGATGGATGACACTATTTTGGAAGTAAATAGAGAGGAAAAGAGAAGTAGTCCAAAGATGGAACAATGGAAGCACCAACAATGAAGGCATGAGCAATAGTGGAGAAATTCTCAAGACAGAGTCAAAGAGAGAAGTACAGGAAACAGCCCTATAGTGGTGGCTAGAAGCCATGGCCTGAGTTGGGACCAAACCCAGAACTACCAGAAGGCAGGCAAGACTGAGTTACACTTTCAACACAGAGCTCTGCTCACCAAAACCCCAGAAGTATCGTTAAATGAATGAATGCCAAAATGCCCCTACTTCAGTTCGCCCCAAAGCCTGGAGCTAAGGACTTCATCTCACTCTTGACACCCAGCCCTGAAAGCATAGGAGTCTAGGTGAGGCAGAAGAATTTACAGCAGAGGCTTAAAGAGAAAGTCATGATTTGTTTCAAGTGGAGAATAAAGTAAAATATAAGAAGACTTGGCACTCTATCAGTCTGGAAGTCCCTCTGCCCAACCTCAACTGGCCCGTGGGTTCCTGTGTCCTTGCTCTGCGTTGTCATGGTGAATGTGGAAACAGGGAAGCGTGTGCGGAGATGGGGGGGGGGTGAGAATGGCCTGTCGGTCACTTGAGGAGTCCTCCGCTGAGCTCACTCTGAGACCCAGCTTATGGGCTTTATCCGGGTAAGAAGATGCTGGGGATGTGTGGGAGGTTTGAGAGCTATAAGGAAAGGGAGAGGAAGTTAGGGGACCAGCCCCACAACCTGGTGGAGGACTGGGAGAGAGGGTCCAGCCCTCTGGGCAGGGACCAGCCCTGAGGCTTAAGCAAACTTGCATAGGCACCTGTGTGTATGTGCATGCGTGCATGCTTATATGAGTGAAAGTGAGAAAATGAGAAAAAGAAAGAGAGACAGGGAGACAGAATAGGAAGCAGAGGGAGAAAGAGGAGACACACACTGTCTTTGGAAAGAACAGAGTCCCTCATGTATAGGTGACTCTGGGCTCTCCCCAGAAGCCTAGTGACTCAACATGTTGAAGTGTGGGTGTGGGGGCTGGACATCCTTGGGAAGCCCTGAGGGGCTGCTGAAGCAGGGTTCCTGGTCTCCTCGGAGGCTTGGCCTCCCCTTGCTGGGGGCTCACAGAAAGTCAAACAGCCCGAAATTCTTGGCTGCTCCAGGCCCAGGGAAAATGTGGGGAGGAAAAAAGAAAGAAAAGAAATGTTTCAGGCCCAGAGGTGAGATGAGCCTGCTAGTTAGTAGTGTTAGGGGTCCGAAGGAGCCAGCACACAAGGCAGGCATGGGGTGGGAGTACAGCAGAGATGCCCCATGGAAGCCACTAGCTGCTCAGACAACTGAGGGGGCCCTCTGGGCTTCTGATCCAGGCTGGGCACAGGCAGTGTGGCTACTGGAGGTGACTACAGCTCTAGGGTGCAGGACTGGGGCAGCAGGCAGGGAGACGTTAGAAGGGGCAGATGAAGCGAATATTTTTTGGTGTCAGTATTGTGGGGGCAGTCAAGAGATCTGAACACATGCCTGAGGGGGTGGGATTAATAGAGGGATGGTGTAACTGAATGAATGGTAAAAGAGAACTGAAGGAGAAAAGGAGGGGATAAGGAGTGAACATGCCCAAGGACACCACAGGGGTCACCTCCTAAAGAGGGTGAAGGGGAGTAAGGGGGAGCACCAGTAAGTCTGGTCCCAGGCACATGAAGGGTCCCAGCAAGTCCTGCGCAGCAGTTAGTGGGCAGAGGGAACAAACTGGGGCCGGAGGCAGGTTAGGGGCAGCAGAGCCAATCGGGAGGTGTATCCTGCCCTCGCTGTACCCAGCGAGCAGTTAGCGCACCTGGATTTAGTTCCATTTATTTCCCTTTTAGGTACCAGACAAAGTATAAAAGACGGACGGATGGAGAGAGGAATGCAGCCGGCCGGGGAAGGGTTGGGATGGCAGTGGGTGGGGGTGCCTTGCTCACATCACATCCACAAAGAACTCACTGGGGTTTCCCATGGCCATGCGGAAGGACTGTCTGCTGGCGGTCAGTTCCGGGGGCACGGAGGCCAGGTCGCGGCCCGGAGGGGCTCCTGGGGGTCCCAGGGCCGCGGGTGGTGGGGGCATCATCAGCATGGGGGGGCCGTAAAGAGGGGGCACTCCGGGAGGGCCGTAGCTTGGGTGTGTGTGGTGGCTGCGCAGGCTGCTGGCCAGTGAGTGGTGGCTGCGGTGGCTGTGCTCGCTGGCCGCTGGGCCTGAGCGCTCACTTGGCGCCCGTTCCCGTGGCCCCCGCAGGCTGCTGCGTGTCGTGTGGTCCGATTCACTGCCGCTGCCCCCGGACTTGGAGTCCCCAGTCTTCGCATCCTTCTCCTTCCTCCGATCGCTGCCACTGCGGTTGGAGCCACTGCTCCGACTGCCTGTAGGAGACGAGCAGGCCAGGACGCTCAGCCTGAGGAAGAAGCCTGGGGCTCACCTGTGGCCTCCCTCTATGGCCTTCTCCGCCTTACCTTCACTGTGCTGACTGCTGGCACTGCCACCGCCGTAGCTGTAGCCCAGCTCCGGGAAGCCCGGGTGTGGGTTGTAAGGGTGCGGGGGCGGCGGGTACTGGTAAGGAAAAGCCATGGGCCAAGGGGCGGCCCCAGGGTGCGGCAAAGGGGCCAGCGTGTCCTGGTCAGAGGCGCCACTGGAGCCATCATGGTCGTGGAGGGAGAGGTTGGCCATGTCTGTGGAGGAGAGGGCCGGGTGAGCTAGGTCTATCCTATGCCCTATACCCCTTGCTCAGGAGAGAGAGCCCTGGCCTAAGTTGGGTGGGTGGGCTTCGGATAACAACAACTGTGGTAGTTTTTGGCCAGAATGAGAGGAAACACAGGCCAGAGAACTCACCCCTCCTTCAGACCCCCTCTGCCACCACCAGAGATAGCTCTGGGAAACCCTCTTCAGGAAGGCCCTGAGTCATCATTTCAGATTCTTAGCCAAATCTGGACATCCAACTTCCAATCCCTGGGAGGCCCCTGCCAAGCTTCTGGCACCTTCTCCTCCCTCCTCAGTGGGCTGGAAGAAGGGGTAAAACTCCTATTTGGCCCTTTTCTCTTCTGTTCACTCAGAGGGTGCAAGGTTGGGAAATATGGAGGGCTGAAATACCATCAGGTACTGCCTACCTATAATTCATTCAGCACGATACAAAGGACTATCTCCTGCAAATGTTACCCCAACCCTATGAAGAAGGTATCTGTCACATTTTTTTCAGATGAGGAAAGTGACATCCAGAGAGGTTAAATGACCAGCCTGAGGTCAACCTAAACTGCAGCCAGAACAGAAACTAAGAGTTTCTTACTTTTGCTTTACCTTTCCAGATGAAGTCATTAGTTAGGAGTGGGGAGTAGTTTGGGGAAATTTAGGTGAAATTTTACCCTGCCCCCTCACCTAGAACTAAAAAAAAAAAAAACCTATTAAAAGCCCAGAATGAGCACAGGGCCTTTCAGAGCCTCCCTATATAGAAGGCTCTTGGCCTTGATTACACTTCCCTGGTGCTACTGGTGAGGGTGGGATGGGGCCAGAAAGAAAGAACATAGGTGTCTCCTCTTTGTTCTCTAACCTATTCCCTGCCAGGCCTGGCTCTTCACAGCGCTGTCCCACTCCTATAACATTACTTATTTCATGACTTTAGCTCCCTTGGGGAAATTGTATATTCCTTAAGGGCAAGGCTGGCCCCACCAATGTTGGAACTACCTTGAAGGGGATATAAGGAGCCACTAGGACTAACAAATACCTGCCTGGGATACCTCCTGTTCACATGCCATCTGTACAGGTCCCAGAGCTCGCTCCAAGAGAGCTGTAATTGTCCTAGGGGCTACGGGCCCAATATATAGGAGACCTTCCTTCAAGCCCACCTTTCTAAGGTGGGCCAGCCCAGCCTTGCAGGGTAACAGTCAGGAGACAGAGCTCTGCCAGGCGTGGTGGCTCACGCCTGTAATCCTAGCACTCTGGGAGGCTGAGGCGGGCGGATTGCTTGAGGTCAGGAATTTGCAACCTACCTGAGCAAGAGCGAGACCCTGTCTCTACTATAAACAGAAAGAAATTAATTGGCCAACTAATATATAGAGAAAAAATTAGCCGGGCATGGTGGCGCATGCCTGTAGTCCCAGCCACTAGGGAGGCTGAGGCAGTAGGATTGCTTGAGCCCAGGAGTTTGAGGTTGCTGTGAGCTAGGCTGACACCACGGCACTCATTCTAGCCTGGGCAACAAAGTGAGACTCTGTCTCAAAAAAAAAAAGGAGGCAGAGCTCTGAGGCAGCCTGTGGAGCTGCCAGCCAAGCCATCAGCTAGCATGGGGGGTGGTAGTGGAGTTAAAAAGTGGTCTGCATCAGCTCATGCTCAAAGAGCTGGTCATGACCTTAGCCTCCAGACTATTGTCCTGAGGGGAGTGACTGTGTCCCCTCTAAGCCTGACATACTCCTGGCTGAGGAGACCTTGACCAGTGAGAAGGAAAAGGCCTGTTCTATCAGTATCCCCCTGAGTCAGGCCTCTGGGGGTGTTGTGAGGATTGAGTTAGAAAACAAAGCGATGCTTTAGAAACAACCAGCATGGTACTAGGCAAAGAGCAGGCACTTAGAAAATGCCAGGCCAAAGGAAGATGTACGGCAGGTGAAGAGGCTAGACTGCACTCTGCTTCCACTACAGAACTCCCAGTCCCTGAGCTGGGCCCCCAGCTTTGTTGCTCCCCAGTCTGGGTTATCTGGAGTCTGCTGCCACATCCCTGGGCACCTCCCCACTCCCAGCCAGGAGACAGGGCAAGAAGGTGGGGGAGGCACGTACTGCCGCAGAGGTCGCCGAAGATGTAGTAGCACTGCTCAGAGAAGGTGATCTTGTTGACAGTGTGGCGGATGAAGCCAGCTTTTAGTAGGTTGCTGGCATACTTGCGGGCCTCCCTCCGGTCAGTGAAGCCTTCCACGTTGTGGTACAGCCAGTCCACCACATCTGAGCCTGCGGGCAAGGCTGCCAGTTGATTGGGAAGCCCATCTGACTTGGGCTCATCTGGCCTCACAGACGCTATGAGGCTGTTCCAGCTCAAAGGAGTGGTGCAAGGGAGCTCTTAAGCCCCCTGGCCTGCCCTGCCCCATTACTCCCCACCCATCCTTCATCCCACCATGGGGCTCTCTCACCGATGAAAGCGTTAGGGATGGTAATCTTGAGCCACATGCGGTCGCGGACCTCCAACCCTGATTCAGGGGAGGCCATGGCTTTTACGATGGCGGCCATGTCACTGTGGATGGATAGGTGGAAGTCGTCTAGGCCTGGGGGTGGGAGGCAGAATGGTGAGGCAGAAAGGGGCTTTCGAGTTAGGTAGACAGGGTTTACATTCCAGCTCTGCCACCTAGTAACTATGGGACTGACACTGGGTAAACTACTGACTTCTTGGACACTCAGTTTCCCCTTCTGTAAAAATTGGGATTTTAATATGTATATTACAAGTATATTTGAAGAAAGAATTAAATAATGTAAATGAATGTGCTTATTAGCATAGTATATCATGTGATGTTATGAGAATAAAAATGGCCATCATTTATTGAATGCTTACTCTATGCCACACACTGTGATGATGCGTTACTTATATCCTTTCATTAAACCCCCAGGAACCTGGTAAGTGCTTATTGTTAGTCCCATTTTACAAGAGGAAACTGAGGTACCCTGGGTGCTCAATACAGGTTCAGAGCAAACACTGTTTAGTGAGGGTCTGAGTGACCAGCTGGGGGAAATTGCAGTGTGGGGTAGCTAGAATGAGCTGAGTTTCCCTCTGACGCTCAAGCAAGAGTCTCCCCCACACCTGGCTCTGTCTGCTGGGCCCAGGAGACAGGGTTGCACACTCACGCTCTGTGTCAGGGATGGAACTGGTGATGGAGGAGCTGGTGGAGGTGATGGTGCTCAGGGAGGGGCTCATGCCGTAGGCAGGGAAGGTGCCCGTCATGGCTGCAGTGTGGGAGACCCAGGCCGCAGGATCAATGGGCCGGATGGGCTCGCCTGCAGGGAGGATGAGGAGTCATAGGCTGCCCACCCTGTCCACTGCTGGGCCCAACAGGATAGGTGTGGGGGTTCTGGGCAACATACGAGGAAGGAGAGACAGGGCTCATGTATGTCAGGCACCAGATTTAGGGCTGAGTCCCCCATCCACTTACTCCTGGGCAATGTGAAGCAACCACGTGGACTTGGGTCCCAGCACTTGGCTACAGTCAGGGTGATAGGTCTGAAAGCAAGGACGTCCTAGTAAGGGCATGATATGTGCAGGCCAGAGCGAGTCCCTTGCCTGACAACCAGAAATGCCTGCCCTGTCCTCCCCAGCGTGCCATTCCATCCATACCCCGGTTTGTGCACAATCTCCCGCAGTACCCGGACTGCATCGTCGTTACTCATGTTCTCAAAGTTGATCTCATTTACCTGGAAAAGAGAACCAGGAGTGGCATAAGCAATTGTGTTGGGGTAGGGGTAGAGGACTCAGTTTGGCGAGTCAGGAGGTCTTCCCCGCACCAAGAGAGGGCCTCTGAATGAACAGGGTACAGCGGGTAGGGACAACTCCCTGCTTCCTATCACACCACCACCCAGGGTGGGCAATGATACCTGTAACAGCATGTCTCCTGGCTCGATGCGTCCATCAGCAGCCACGGCCCCACCCTTCATGATAGAGCCAATGTAGATGCCACCGTCACCACGCTCGTTGCTTTGGCCCACAATGGAGATGCCCAAGAAGTTATACTTTTCTACAGGGAGTAATGTATGACCTTGAGGGGCAGCAAGGTGCCCACCCAAATTCACAGCCCATTATTAGAAAATGGAAAGTTATAGGAAATGACATTTACTGAACCTGAATCAGACACTGTGTTCAGTGGACTCACACATGCTATCACTGAATGCTTGCTGTCTGTGAGGTAGGGACTTTTAGTTCCATTTTAAAGAGCAGGCAACTGAGGTTCAGAGAATTTAAGTGACTTTTCTAAGCCAGTAAGTGGTAGAGCCAGGATTCGAACTCAGATTTAAATCCCAAAGTTGAGCTCTTTTTATTATATCCAGCTGTCTCCTAAAGAGAGTATATAGGGTAAAAACCAGAGAGCAAGGATGCATTGGCTGAAAGATGGGAAGGAGTGGGGCACTCAGAAATCACTTCTTCCAGGAAGCCCTCCCTGATGCCATTTTCTGCTTCCATAGCTCTCTGTACTTATCTCTGTTATAGCCCCGATAATGAGATACTGAAATGGTCAGTTTATGTATTAGTTGATATTTACGGAAGATAGCTCCTTGAGGGCAGGGAACTATCCCATGTCTCTCTGAAATCCTCAAGTCTGCCTAGTGTCTAGCATGTATAGTAGGTGCTCGAGAGTGTTATTTCATCAGACTCACCCATGTTGAGAGTAACTGTGATGATGTTGAGTGACATGGTGGAGTCCGTGATGCTGCTGAAGGATGAGGACTGGAATAGACAGAGGCTTGAGCAGCAGGTAGAGGTGGCAGGAATTCACTCTCAACTGGCTCTTCCTCAATGTGAACCCTCAGCACCATCCCCCTATCCCCCTGAACTAATGGGAAGGGATGTAAGGAAGAATAAGCCTTGGCCCTGCCTGAGAAGTGCTCACAATCTGCCCCCACCCATCCCTAGCATCCCAGGCCCCATACCCGCTCGATCCGAGAAACCTTCTGTTTCCGCCTGCGCCGCTTGTGTCTTCTCATCAGGCGTGAGGCACTGCTCTGTTCTGTGGAGCTGCTGAACCTGTGGGGCCCACAGTCGTTCCCCACCAGGCTGGCCCAGCCCTGCCCCATGAGAGGCACTGCAGGGCCCAGGTCCCCAACACAAAGCCCACATGCCTCCCAGGGGCCCAGCATCCTCAGGGTTCAGGGCTCCTCAAGGGTCACCTGCCCTACAGTACCCATGAAACTAAAGCCCCACCTGCTGGTGGAGTCATCTTCATCTGAGTCAAAGAAGCTGGTGGTCTCCAACTCGCTGCTCATAAGGGTGGATGAGCTATCATAACCGCCTGGCTCTCGCCGCCGCTCCCCTTTCGCAGTTCCATTTAGCCGAGCCGCTGCAAGGGATGGAAGCAGCTGGTTTCACATAGTGCCCCATGTAGGAATGGAGGAAGGAGAGAGAGGCAAGCCAGGGGCTGCAGTGGGACTGGGCACATCCAGAGCCCAGAAAGAAGGGCAAAGGGGTGGGTAGCTGGGTGGAAGCTGTGGGGAGGGTGTAGGGGTGAGGAACACATCCCTGTTCAGGGAAGACATACCATGGTCTGGGCCATCCCTCCGACGTGGCCGCTCCCGCTGGGCAGACACCAAGGAGTCCGTCTCTGTGTCATTGTCCAAGTTCTCCTGGCTTCCCCCACAAGCATGAGGGCTGCAGGGAAGAGAGGACTTGGCAAGGGAGGGTCAGGCTGGGGGTTCCCTCCCCCAGCCCTGGGCTGAGCTGATGCGGCCCTCCCCCTGGGCCCTTCCCACCCTTAGGTTGCACTCACTGGAAGGATGGGGGTCGGGAGTCCCCGATGCCTCCTGTGCGCTCCATAGGTGGCGGCAGCTCAGATGGGTTGTCAGCACAGAAAGGGGCTGGCTCTGGGTGTGAGCCCTCAGCTGATACCAGCTGATGGGGAGAAAATGAGAGGGTACTAGGTTACAGGGACACCAGGGAGAAAGGGGATAGTTGGCTTCTGGCAGGGCATGAAGGCCTAATGAGAATGAAGAAAGAAACATCGAGGGAAAAGAGACAGGCCTGTGCAAGAACAGCTGAGATGAAGAGTGGACCCACTGCCTGGCTTGATGGGGTGGTTGGGAGGCATGGGGTGGAGAAGTGGAGTGGGGACAAAGGGTCACTGGCCCGTGGCAGAGATCAGCAGGTGGACAGGAGGGAACCTGAGGCAAAGTATCTCGAAGGCCACAGGAGACATTACTGTCTTCACTGTGTATTTCTGTCTCTCCCTTTTCCCCCTTCCCACCACTCTAACTTTTTATTAAAGTTATAGACTCTGGGGTGAGAAAAAGTTCAATTAGAAAACTAAAGGAAGATTCAGACTTTGAAGCATAAAACCACCAGCTATAATCTCAGTGAGGCCTTTCCCCCTCCAGCCTGGCATGGGGATGCAGGTGGATGGAAAGTTGAGGGCTCCTTACCCAGGACACCACCCGGCCATTGAAGCAGGGTAACTTGGCATTGTCGTCTGAGATCTCCTCCTTCACCACTCTGCAGGGAAAGGGGATGTCAGAGAGAACTTTCTGGGACAGAAATAGAAGCTCCTCAAAATCCCAACTCCTAGGGGCTCCTCAACCCTAAACTGGGAATCAAACTTCTAGCACAGACTATTCAAATGGGAGCAGAAGTCGGGGTGACCCAGGGACAGCTCTTTAGCACCACCAGGAAGACACCAGTCCTACCAAGGCCAGCTGCCTTCCTAGGTCATCCTCTCACTCATCGGGTGATTGCAAATTACAACTGACAAATCATTGTGCTGCATGCCACTGCCTCAAATCTCCACAGTGCTCTACCCATCCCCAACATGGCTCTCCTGCGATAGACTTTCTCTTTCCCTCTGATCTCAGGCTGTAAAAAAGCACACAATTATTGCTGCCCTTCCCTTCTAAACTGGGAATTCTGACATTGTTGTGGGATGTATGGGCAAGGAATTTAAAGAAATTTGAAGAGAGAAAGGGAGAAGGCATTTGATGATCATACATCTTCCACATGCCATTATAATGAACAGTAACAATGCTTTCATTTATTGAACATGTATTACAGGCCAAACACTATGCTAAGCACTTTACTTGTATCATTTTGTTTAATATTCACAACAATGCTATAAGGTAGGTATAGATGGGGAAACTAGGCTCAAAAGGTTTAGTATTTCACCTAAACTCTTATCACTAGCAAGTGAAGAGCTAGAATTTGAATTCTGGTCAGCCTAACTCTAAAGTCTATATTCTTACCTATTTTATGATTTTTATTTCCCTACAGTTAGAACATATAATATTCATACCAGCCTCATTAGGTAGACAATATGGTCCTCATTTTATGAATAAGGAAACTGAGAAACATTCAGTAACTTTTCCAAGGTCACCGAACTAGTAGACGTCAGAGCTGGAATTCAAATCTAGGCTCATCTGACTCCAAAACTCCCTCTCTTTCCACTGTATTTCACATTCTTTCCTGTACAGTGATGGAGGTAATGTGGGTCTGTGTAGAAGGTGGGTGGTGGGGGGACAGTGACGTGGGGCATGAGGGATGTGGGATGTGGTCATGGGCACGTAGTTTGGCATGGGGAATGTGGTGAGGCAAGAAGTCAGACACTAGCTAGGTGCAGTGGCTCACGCCTGTAATCCTAGCAGTCTGGGAGGCTGAGGTAGGAGGATTGCTTGAGCTTAGGAGTTTGAGACCAGTCTGAGCAAGAGCAAGACCCCATCTCTACTATAACTAGAAAGAAATTAGCCAAACAACTAAAAATAGAAAAAATTAGCCAGTCACAGTGGCGCGTGCCTGTAGTCTCAGCTACCCAGGAGGCTGAGGAAGGAGAATTGCTTGAGCCCAGGAGTTTGAGGTTGCTGTGTGCTAGGCAGACACCATGGCACTCTAGCCCAGGCAAGAAAGTGAGACTCTGTTTCAAAAAAAAAAGAAGTCAGACAGTGACTACAGTTTGAGGTCAGGGAAGGGAAATGAAAAGTCTGAGGACCATCAGACTATCAAACACACCAGGAGTACAGAGCTGGAAAGATGTGACCAAGGGTAAGAGAATGACACATGTGGAATTCTGAGCAGAGAGGGAAGACAGCAAGGAAGGAAGCTGGGAAGCCCAGTTCTCCCTTGTTCCTAGAGCAGCTTCTGTCCAGAGCTTGGAACGTGCTTGGCTCCTTGTGATGCTCACATTCTTGGACTCACAGCCAAGTTTGCAGGCCGAGCCTGCCCTCCCTCTTCCCAGCCAGCTCTGGCTCCTCCACCACTTGCAACCCCACAGTGACCCTAAGAAAGAAGCCCAGATCATCCCGCTCAGGCCCACCATGGTGGAAAGTGTAGAAAGAACTTTCTACACTTCTGAGATCTACTCCTTCACCACTCTGCAGGGAAAGGGGATGTCAGAGAGAACTTTCTGGGACAGAAATAGAAGCTCCTCAAAATCCCAGGAGGATAGAAGGGACAGAGAGGTAGCTCAGACCCATCAGTCTGGCAGCAGGGTACCCTATGCTTATAGCCCCACATGGGGGAGGGGTGGTAGAGTCCAGGACTCAAAGGAAAAGGCGGGTATGTGCATCACATGGCGTGGTCTCTGTGGCCTGCTTTGGAGAGGGTCTCCCTGTAAGTGGGAAACTGCTGCTGAGTCCCTCCCCCCCCCCTAAGCAGGCCCCACCATACTGTTCCACACTACAGATGTTTCCTTTCTTTCTGGGGGTCACTGACAGGCCACCAAGGCTCTGCTGACTCACAACAATCAGCTGATCTTCAGCAGCCTCGGGGGACCTCAGACAGGCCTTACCCTCCTACCACGTAGCCAAATGGCTCAGGGTTCCACAGCACTTACACTCCCCCCACAAGTGAAGTGGAATAAATGTGGGTTCAAATTCCAATTCTACCACTTAGCCTTTCCATATTACAGAAATTTCTTAACTCTTGCAAGCCTTTGTCTTGTCCTGTTAAACAATATTCTTAAATGCCTGGCACAATCTAGGCATACAATATAAGCTAGTTACTAACTTTGTCAGTTTTTAGCAGGATCCACACACTCTTCTAACTAGGTGTAAATTGCTGAGGACAGGGCCAACAAATCTTCTGCTCATTATTCATTGTTCATCTGATTAAAAGCTTTTGCTGCCAGGTGCAGTGGCTTACACCTATAATCCTAGCACTCTGGGAGGCTGAGGCAGAAGGACTGCTTGAGCTCAGATGTTTGAGACTAGCCCAAGCAAAAGCAAGACCCCATATCTACTAAAAATAGAAAAATTAGCCAGGCATCATGGCACGTGCCTGTAGTCCCAGCCACTTGGAAAGCTGAGGCAGGAAGATCGCTTGAGCTCAGAGTTTGAGGTTGCAGTGAGCTACAATGACACCACTACACTCTACCTGGGGAGACACAGAGAAACTCTGTCTTCAAAAAAATAAAATAATTAAATAATAAATAAATAAAAAGCTTTTGCTGAGAGTCTAGTGGGTTTTAGGTCCTGTGCTTTCCATTGTATAGACTTCACAAAGCACTAGACGTTGAACCTGCCTTGTTCTCAGGGAGATCACAGTCCAATGGATAGTTCATATAAGTACACTGCAAGTGGGAAGTGGTCAGAGTCGTAAAAGCAGCAGATGTGTTCACTGGATAGACATCTGCTGCATGTTCTTTAGTGTCAGGCTGTAAGGATAAGCAGAATAAGTGCCATGATCATTCTCATGGAAAAGCTCAACCTGGAGGACAGGAGAATTTGGACTTAGAGGAAACAGGGGAAGAGTGCTCCAACTAGAAGGCCCAGAGGGAGGGAGGACAGTGTGTGACAAGCAGGGAGGAGCAACACAGTTTAATGACCTAACTTGCCATGTTGCTCTCTCCCACAGCTCAAGGCCAGGCTAGCAGTGGGTACCTTGTTACCATGTATCATCCACCATCTCCTCAGTGCTGAAAATGTTTATCCTTTTTCCATTTCCCAAATAATTTAAGATGAATGGGTCTACCTTGAGCTTGACAAGTACTTCTGGAGACCAGATGGGACTTGGGAAGTCCTTAGGCCTCATAACCAGAACCTCAGAGGATGAGCCTGGAGTGGAGAGACTGGAGAGACAGCAGCCTTCCGTCTCTGACCCACCTTCCCTTCTGTCAGCAGGGGCACTGGCCTCTGCCCAACCCTGCTCTTGTGGGGCTCAGAAAATGGTGGCCCTAGCACCTTTACAGTTTGCCAAAGCTTACCATCTCCCTCAGAAAGGATTCACCTGTAAAATGGTGATCATCACAACACCTACAATTGTGTGACTAAGGCTTTAGACTCTGGAGCCAGATTCCTGATGTCGAATCAAGCTCTGCCACCTGGTAGCTGTGTGACCTTGGGCAAATTACTTAAGCCTTCTGTGCTCTAGTTTCCTCATTTGTAAACTGGAGATATTACTGCCTATTTCATAGGGCTGTTATGAGGATTAAATGAGTGAAGATTTGAAAAGTATTAAGATCAGTGCCTGCCATACTGTAACTACCATAAAATGAGTTTGTTAAATAAATGAAAACTATACATGCTAGTCAGCTATTAGTCATCTGTGACAAGACAGCTATAGGTCTCCTGCTTATTTATCTCTCTGGGGATAAAAATAAAATTAATCTCCTCCATTTCAGTTTTAGCATTGTTCTCAACCCTATTAAAATGGCTAACTCTGACATTTTGCAAAGGGTGGTTAAGTACCACTGATGTATGCAAGATGGCTTCAGATAGTGTATGAATAAACACTGCTTAGTTCAATAGTTACTTTAAACATATTTTAAAAAGAAATATAAATAGAAAATCAGACCTGTGATTTCATATTATTGGTTGGGTCAAGCTAAGAAAAAGCTTTGCAGTGGATTTAAAGAAATATATTAACAGTGAGTGGATGTAATGGGGGTCCTCTTACGACTGCAGTTAGGCTTGGCTCAACAGCAGCCTTGGGAGAGCAAAGGAGCTTAGGAGGTGGGGGCTAGGCCCAGTGGGTGTCAGGCTGTAAGAGATAAGTGAGGGGATAAGTAGAGGGTGGAGACACAGGCCTGTCCTAGTCCCTCAAGGCATCTGGATCCAGGGTGACTCCAGCCACTGGACTGTGGCTGATTTTTCCTCATCCCATATCCTGAGGCAGTATCTTAGTCCCTTCTAACCCTATTCTTCTCTTGCCTAGCCAAGGCACCCAGCCCCTCACTCACACCTCCTAAGAATCTTCCAATCAGTGGTGTCAGTCCCTGGACTGAAGCTAGACAATCATCAACACACCAGGAGTACCCACCCCAGGGTAAGAGCAGCAACAATGGAAACAAGAACAGTCAGAACCTACACAGCACTCCCCCTTGTACAAAGCACTTTCACGCACATGATTTCATGGGCTCATCAAAACCTGAGTTCCAAGGCAGAAAGTGACAGCAAAACATGCCAGACAGAAGACATAGGTGCTTGCCTCCTAGGGCTGGGAGGGCCCTGGTAGTGGGAGAGAACCCAGATTGATGAACACTAGGGAGAAGAATATTTCCCCTCACTTGACTCTGGGACTTCAGCTCTGAAGAGCAATGCAGGCCTCAAGCTAGGGCTGGAGAGGCGCCCTTCAGGCCTGGCTGGGCCTTCCCCATGGCCTCCAGGCCCAGCGCCCAGTTAACGTGGGGGCCTCCCCTCCCCCAGTCCCCTGGGAGTTGGGGGGGGGTCGAGGGGATCAGCCAGGCCCCCCTCCCAGGCCAGCTGCTACAGAACCTTCCGGCTCCAACATTCCATCCCTTCTTAAAGGGGAAGTCAATGCTTCCAAACTCTGCCTGTCCAAAGCCTTGCAGCTGGGTGGAGGGGAAGACCCCGCCAGGGAAGGGAAGATGGAGAACTCCCAGAAACTCTTCTTGGCCCTCCCACCCAGGCCCTGAGGCCCCTTCCAACATCTCCCCCCTTGGCCACCATCTGGAGGAAAAAGGCCCCAATTCCAAAGGGAGCTCGGCACCTGGGCTGGGGAGGACTCCCCGTCAGGGGGTCAGGCGCTCTGCTCCCCTGACAACATCCGAACGGCCCGGCCCGCAGGGGAGAGGGGCGACAGCTAAACAAACATCAGAGCTGCAGACCCTCGCTCACATCCTGGAGCCCGGGCACCCCTCACTCCCCCTTCCCCAGCTCAAAGTCCCAAGGCATAGCCCTCAGATGCAGGATACTCCAAATATGGCTCTGAGTTGTGGAGCTCAAAAGATGAAGAGGGCCAAGGCCGAATGCCAGACACCCCTAGCCTCTGCTAAAGAGGTGGCTCCCTCGGCAGGAGGAGGGCTGCGGGCTCCGGCCCTGGAACTGGGTGGAGGGGGTGTGTGTCTGTCTATGTGGGCCACTGGTCTCTGAGGAGGTGAGCGGGCTTGATGGGCAGGAACTCTGCTCTTGGGGAGCTGGACGTCCCCCTAAACTCGGGGGCCAAGGTCCTCCCTCAAGAGGCGCACGGGAGCCCCTAGAGGGGCTGGAACCTTGGCCCCTGAAAAAGCCAAGGGGGCTCGAATGGGCTGAGTCGCCCCTAGAAGTCGGAGTGGGGCTAGAAGTCGGGGTAGCGAGGGAAGTCCAGCCTGGCCGCGTCGGCCCTGAGAGCCTGCGGCGCCGGGCTCCCCGGAGGCAGGGCGAGGGCCATCCTCACCCGAAATCGTCGTCCATAGACTTGAAGAAGAACTTATAGCTGGGTCGCTGCAGAACGCCCTTAAAGTCCGCCAGGGTGACGCGCTCGGCGGGCAGGGGCAGCTTCACCAGGTACGGCGTCTCCTGCCCGTCCAGGTGGTAGATGATCTTGGTCTCGCCCATGGCTCCGGCCTCGGGCGCAGCGGCCCGCGCGCGGCCTGCTCCGGCGGCCGGGCCAGGCCTCTCGGGCGGCGGCGGCGCTCGGCGCGGCCCAGCGGCTCAGCCCAGCGCGGCGGCCGGCCGCGGCGCCAGCTCCCTTGTTCTCCGGCCGCTCCCGGGTCCCAGCGCCGCCCGCCGCCGCCGCCGCTTCCGCTCCCCACTCCCCGGCTCGGCTGGCGACCGCGACTCTTCCGGTGGCCGCGGCCCGCCCGGCCCTGGGCTGCGTCCCGGCCCGCTCCCCTCCCCCGCGCCCCGGCAGGCGGCCGGCCCCGCCCGGGCCCCGCAGACACCCCGCCCACCCGCGGGCGGCGGCGCTCGGGTCCCGGCACCCAGAAAGGGAAGGGGAGCTTTCACCGGGGTGGCCGCCTCCCCGGACCTTCCAAGGGCCTGACTGCACCCGAGTGGGATCGGTGGCTCCTCTGCTGTCCGGGAGGAGTGGAATGCAGGGATGGCTTTGGTCCCCAGAGGTGGTCTGGGGGAGGAGAGTGACCTCAGCGTGGCCCTGTAGGGTTTGTGGAGAAGCACAGCTGCTGTCTTTGAGTCTACTAAACTGAGCTCCTTGGAGGCAGGACTGATTTTTTCCTTCTAACCTTAGCGCCTAAGTGCAAAGCAGTGGTTTAGTTAATGGATTGACTGAAGATTGAGTGGTTGCAAGCATGCCTGGGACAGTACAGTCTCAAACCAGAACTAGGTATAACCGGTTCCTAACAGATCTCCTCACCCCTTGGCTTTTAATTCATTTAATAAATACTGAGACCCTACTATACGCAAGGCGTATTGCATGAGATATAACAGTAACAAAATGAACAAGGCTGCCCTCACGATCTTCACTCAACTGGAAGAAAGCATATAGGCTTGTAAATAAATAATTTCAGAGTGACCAAATGCTATTAATATCAAGATAAAATGGAGTGATGTGACCGTGACAGGGGAAAGAGGATTCTAGGTGGTCAGAGAAGGCCTCTTCCATATGAACTAAGGCCTAGAAACAGTGAGGAGGAAGCAGCTACGGGATCTGGGGGACGAGTATTCTAGGCGGAGGGGACGCAGTATGGGGGGGGGTAGCCAAGTATAAAGGCTCAAGGCAGGAATAAGCTTGCCACATTCGAGGAACAAGAAGTCCCCTGTGACTAGAGGGACGGTGTGAGATGAGGCTAGAAGGTAGACACGGGTCAGATCACATGGGGCTTTTTATGCTACAGTAACAAGTATGGACTCCCCCCACTCCATTTGTATACTGTTGCCAAATTAGAGTAAGAACTTCTTTCAGATTCATCATCTGCTCAGAAATCTCTCCACATTCCCCAATGCCTTCCAAATATCCTTAGCATGATAATCAAGGCCCTCCATAATCTAACCTGTACCTACCTTTACAGCCTTTTGTCTCATTATATCCTAGCCATTTGTTTTGACTCCATAGATATGAACCCATTTGCTAGCCCCTGCAACATCTTATACATTTTCACTTCATACCTTTTCCTTCACCTTCTTTAAATTTTAAGTTTTTAATCAAAGTAATATGTATGCATAGTTAAATAGCATTAAGAAGCTTTTAACAAAAGCAGCAATCCTTTGTCCAATTTCCCTCCCCACTCTCAGAATATTTTCTTTTTTCTCTTTTTTGTTTGTTTATACAACTCATTTCTCTGAAACAGAGTAGCTTGCACTACTATTTCTTGATTTATGCATTCTAGACATTGCTTATTGATTTCCAATTTTGATTGAGGATGATCTCTCTTCCACCTCTCCCTACCCTCTTAAAATGGTAAAATCACACTTTCTGGCTAAGTCAATATAGTACTTAGTATTGACATTATTTTAACCATGAATAAATGTTCACCACTAAGCCATGTGTGTTCCATGATTATGTTTTCTTTACAACTTTTTGTTTTCCCTGGCATTAATCATTGCCTTGCTTTTTCATTTGCTTTGTTTTCAATATATTTACCTATCATTAATTCTTTCCATGTAATCTAATTATTTCTCAACACACATTTTGTTCACTCAGTCAAATCTATTAGATCATCCATCAGTTCCATATTTTCCTAGAGCCTTTCATTCTTTTGCTCTGGTCTGCCCTGCTGCCTGTCTCAGCCTGTGCATAGCTGTCATCTTGAAACTTCTCTACATCCTCAGAATACCCTTTACTTCTCCTCTGTGTTGAATCCCTATTTTCTGGATAGTCTACTCCTTTGTTTTTAGTAAAGCATATCCTTTGGTAGCTTCCTTTGAAAGGAAGCATGGAAAATAAAAAAATTTTTTGAGAACTTGCATATCTGACAATATATGCTTCTGAGTTGAAAATAATTTTCCTTCAGAATTTTTTTTTTTTTAAATATGGAACGCTTCACGAATTTGCGTGTCATCCTTGCGCAGGGGCCATGCTAATCTTCTCTGTATTGTTCCAATTTTAGTATATGTGCTGCCGAAGCGAGCACTTTCCTTCAGAATTTTGAAGGCATCTGTTGTCTTCTAGCTTCCCGTGTTTTTTTTTTTTTGTTTTTTTTTGAGACAGAGTCTCACTTTATTGCCCAGGCTAGAGTGAGTGCTGAGGCGTCAGCCTAGCTCGTCAGCCTAGCTCACAGCAACCTCTATCTCCTGGGCTTAACCAATCCTCCTGCCTCAGTCTCCCGAATAGCTGGGACTACAGGCATGCATGCACCACCTTATATATTTTTAGTTGGTCAATTAATTTCTTTCTATTTTTAGTAGAGACAGGGGTCTCACTCAGGCTGGTTTTGAACTTCTGACCTTGAGCCCACCTCGGCCTCTCATAGTGCTAGGATTATAGGCGTGAGCCACAGCGCCCGGCCTAGCTTCCAGTGTTGATAATGAGTGGTCAGTTTGATCTTATTTTTTCCAAGCCTTTGTACATTTGTTTTTATTGTCTCTGGAAGTCTTTAGGAAGTTCTCTTTATCTCAAGGATTCTGAAATTTCATGGTAATTCATTTTGGTAAGGATCTTTTCTTATTTAGTGTGCTAGAAATTCAACAATAATTTCTTGAATTAAGACCATTCTCACTACAATTTTTCCTATTCTCTTTCTGTAACCTGTGTTTGATGTTAGACCTTCTGGATTGATCCTTAATTCTCTTTTTTCCTTTATCCATTTCCTTTTATTTTCCAATGATTTCACCTTTTTGCAAGATTTTCTTTTTTTTTTTTTTCTTTTTTTAAGAGACAGGGTCTTACTCTGTACAGCCCAGGCTGTAGTACAGTGGCACAATCATAGATCACTATAAACTTGAAGTCCTGGGCTCAAGCAATTTTCCCACCTCAGCCTCCCGAGCAGTGGAGTAGCTAGGACTACAGGCACCTGCCACATGCCCAGCTAATTTTTAAATTTTTTTGCGTAGAGATGGGGTCTTGCTATGTTGCCCAGGCTGGTCTCAAATTCCTGGCTTCAAGCAATCCTCCTACCTCAGGCTCCCAAAAATACTGGGATTACAGGTGTGAGCCACCAAGCCCTGCCAGATTTTAACATTCTTATCCAACCCTTCCAACCATTTACCTATCCAATATATTCACTGGATTTTACCTATCCAATAAATATTCAAAATTCAAGAAGTACATAAGGATGGAAATACAATAAAACTTCTCCCTCCTATTTGGTTCGCTAGTCCTCCAGTTCTCAACAGAAGGAATTAATTGGTTTATTTTAAATCAGAAATTAAAAACTATTTCTTGTTCTCCAATTCTTCCTTTTTTAAAAAAAATTTTTTCATCACACTTCCGTCTACAACAATTCTTCCTTTTTACAGCACTTTCTTCATAGCCACAGTATCTTTCTTCTTTGAGTTTTGAGTATAGTAATTGTAGCTTTTTCTCCCTGAAGTTTGCAAAAAGTTCCCTACTTTGCCATTATTTCCTTGGTTTCAATTTTCTGTTTACTTGTTTTGGTCTCTACCTTCCATGTTGGAAGATTCTTCAAATGTTTGATTGTCCTTGGCTGTCTATTCACATTTAACAATGAGATACTAAAAGTTGATTGGAAGCTTAGTCTACGTACAAGGCTTAATAACTAATAGGTTTCAGTATAGGGTGATCAAGTGGGAGGAAAGCTGACCTGTTTTTTGGTCAAGGAAACAAAAAATGTCAGTGTTCATAGGACTTTTTTTCTGTAGCTCTTCCATTTGTTTTTGCCTGGGGGTTATAAGTCACTGTGTATTGTATGTTCAGAGTCCCACCACTCATACCTTCGCCTAACTCATTTTCAATGTAAAACTTTACCCCCAATCTCACTATGCCTGATAGTTTAAGTTCTCTTGGACATTCTGAAATTTCATGGGCTTTTTCATTCATTAAGCTGGGGCACTAATGGGCCCTGTCAGTCTGGAAACTCATGACCTTTGGGTTTAGGAAATCTTGTGTTTCTTTGATAATTTCTTCCCCATCATTTCTCTAGACACATAATCTCCCATTTCTTGCAGGGGAGAAGTAGGTGTAATTACCCAGATGGATCACATGTCAGGACCTGGGGGCCTTTTTCTTATATAGATCTTTGTGTAATCTCCCTCCACTCTACTCCTAGTTTTCAGTCCCAATCTGTACCCTTCTCTGAGGTGCTGAGCCTTTTCTGGGTTCAGAAGGGCACACTGGGTTGCTTCCTATTAGTAACTCCCTTGGCAGGTAGAACCCAACTCATTCTGCTCTGCTAAGTCGCCTTTTACTCTTTTATCTTTCATTTTCTAAAATGTTAATGTCTCTCTCTTCACCACCTGTTTTCTTTATCATTGGGTCATGTGGCTTTTTAAAAGAATTCCTTTATAAGCATTTTAATGGAGATTTTAGAGGGAACAAAAAAAAGCTCATGTGTTTAATTTTCCATATTTAATTGGAAATCTTTTGCTTTGCTTTTAATGTGCTTTTAACCTTTTCTTTTTCTTTCTTGTTTTTAGAGACATGGTCTCAAGGTCTCATTCTGTTGTCCAGGCTAGAGCTCACTGTAACCTTGAACTCCTGGACTCAAGCAATCCTCCCACCTCCGCCTCCCAAAGTGCTGGGATTACAGGCTTTAGCCACTGTGCCTGGCCTCTTGTAACCTTTTCTATTTTGTAGGTCACTCCAGCATCGCAATTCTGTAAAGCCTTCCCTAACCACCCCTACTAGAAGGGATCTCTCCTTCCTAAAAACATTCTATAGACTACTTCTAATCTGTCACAGAGATCTGTACATATTTGGTATAGATCAGAAATGCCTTATAGTTACTTACCCTATTAGGTCCATGCCATAACCTTTACATGCTCTCTAGGAACTAGATTCTACTCAACAAGACATAAACTTAGATTTACTGAACAAGTAAATTAAACCATATCCTGGACACCCTGTTTTTTCCTCTTTAGAAATACCCAGTAATACCTTCATACTCCCAAGTAGAATTCAATAATCTCTTCCTCAGCTTGTATCTTTGCACCCAACTAAAATGAAGGCAACCATTTGATCTTTTATGTTGGGGGGGGGGGGCACTTGCTACCACAGTGACATTTGCCAAAGTTTAAGTGCCAATAGAGGAAATTATTGACTTATTCCATATCTCTATACGAAGACAACAAAGAGCTCAAAAAGATGTGACAGAAAGGCATGTCTCATGGTTGAGTTTAAAGGAGACAATACAACAAAGTGACAAATGCCAGCTCTAGAGTCCATTATCAAATCTGGCTATATCAATTAGTAGTTATGGGACCTCTGTGAGCTTTCGGCACCTCATCTTAAAATGGGGATATGACCTACTTCCCGGGGCTGATGTGAGGATTAAATGAACTAACACATTAAAGGTAGTTAGCAAAATGCCTGTCACACAGTAAACAATATTAAGAGAAATCTTTCCCAGGACCTTCCTGTGTACTTAGGATATCCATTATTATCTTTGGGTTTTGTGGCTGGGGCAATTTTCCCTTCATTGAGACATAGTATGCTGTGTCTCAATGGAGATTACGAGGTTCAAGTCTAAGGACCTGTGACGTGGAGCGGATTTTCTTATCTTTAAGATGAAGAGTAGCCCCGGCTTCTCTGACAGGACTAGTACTGGATCAAGTAGAAAAGGCATGTGAGAGGGACTGACACACGATAAAGGGCTTTACAGAGGTTTGGCATCATCACTCTCTGGCAGTGTTTAGACTAGAACTCTTTATGGCAACAGGCTTAGGCACATCATCCCAGGACCACAAGCTGGTCCACAGAGGCTGGAAAAGAAAGTAGGCCCTTTACTACCCATAAGCCAGGGGAATGGTTAATTAGCAAGGCACCACAGTACCACCTAGTGGCCATAACACCCTTCTCTCTCTCTCTCCCCCAGTTAGGAAAAGGCTGCCAGGTCAATGGTTCAGAACTCTGGTCACATTCTTTTATGGCTGAGTAGTCAAGGATGGAGAGAAACCAAATAGTCATGGTTGGAGAGAAACCAAATACACCGCTATCTCTTTTTTTAATATTAACAAATACAAGGAGCAGAGAGAGCCAGCTGCTCTCTGCTGTCCCCTGAGGGAAAGCCAGTGCACAAAGCTGTTCCTCTGGCCTTCCTCCAACTGCAAGGCCTGCCTAGCTCCTCCCTAGGCAGCTTTGTTCCAGTCCAGCTTCCCTCATCCCAACTCCCCAGTCAGGATGGGAGGCACATGGTTGCTGGCGGTGGGAAGAATACTGTAGTTCCAGTCTCTGCTCGTTTAAGTCTTGGCCTGGATGGGGATCACTCATCCTTCTGCAACTAGCTCTTCACTTGTCCTGGCCTAGGAACCAGGAGGGCAATCAGTCACACCCACAGGAGCGGGCTGTGCGACTTCAGTCATCTTCAGATGACTCCTCTTCGGCCTCTTTTAGCCACTGGATGAACCTCTGCAGCTGTAAGGAAGCAGATGGGAGATCTACTGGGGGAGGGGCACATAACCCTCCTGTTCTTAGCAGATAAACAGCTCTAACAACCACAGAAGCCCAGGGACTAGCCACCCTAGAGTGTAGGGGCAAGGACCTGGGAACCAGACAACCACCTTGGTGAGAGGGCAGCCCGACTCACTTGTTGATTCTTACGCAACTGCCGGCCCTTGTCTGTTGTGTCCCTTTGGCTGAACCAGCTCAGGATTGTTTCCTCAGCGAGGATCTCCAGCTGGTAGAAAGCCATCAGCACCTGCAGAAGGCCAGCAAGGGGGATTGATCTCAGGGGTCTTAAGAGTCCAACAAGATATAATGGATAACAGATGAGGAAGCATGACCTTAGCATCTCTCTACCAGGCCCTTATCTTCCTTCCACGTACTGAGCAGCCTACTCCAAAACAGACAAGACTGAGCTGTTGACTCAGCTACTGGGGCAGATGTAACTTCTGGAACTATTGCTGCATAGAACTTTGTACATTCCTAGGCCACCCTGCCCAAAAAATTGGCTGCCTTACTAGCCTGGCTCCAAGCTGTATTATTCCAGCAATAAGCAAAATACTAGGGGTGGATGGTACTGTTCACCAAATTCCATACGGGATTCATGTTAGCTTCTTGTTTTGTGTCTCCATGGGTGTCACCAAGGCCTCTTTGAAAGCAAATGCAAGAGCATGGGGCTTGGGGTGGTATTCACCTTGGCCATTGAGGTACCAAGAGCTTCGTGTTCCAAGAAGAAGTCCTCAATGGCTGCTAACGCTTCCAAATGGTCAGCTGCACGTTTTATATAGTTCCTAAAAACAGGGCTCCAAGCCTTGAGCAGCTACGGAAGAAAGGAAGAGAAGGGAGTTGCAATATACTTCTGAGCATGCACCTATACCTGGACAGCAAAGAAAATCAATATTCATGACACGGGAGAATAACAGGGAGATGATATAGGCCCTATGGAATCATGTCAGTGGAACTTAGGAGTTCTGGGCAGAGTTGGGGAGAAAGAAGAGATTGCTCAGAGAAGATTAAAGGGAATAGGATGTTGCAGGCTGCCTCAAAATACCTATTCCCAGATTCTAGAAGTTGATCTTGTGCTGGGTCAAATCACTTTCATAGAGTCTGACTGTCCAAGTCTATTCTGAATATACCTTTGGGGGTCTAGTATGGTCTGAATCTTGGAGTCTCAAAGGCCACTCAGTAATGAACCCAACCTGACTCCTCTGGACCAGCTAAGGGTGTTCTAGAACCAACCAGCTTTCAGAGGCAAGGAGAAAGGAACCAGAAATAACATATATCCCATAATAAGACCTTCTACTACTGATTTCTTTTGAAGTCAAGTATAGCAAGGATATGTATCTGCCTCTACCCAATCCCTTGTATCCATCCCAAATCTTTGCTCACAGGAAGCAGCAGGGAACAGTAGCGGTTTGGGTCAAGCGGAGAATCCATTTGTTGCAGGGGGAACTCCAGGACCACGTGGCTCAGTACCTGCATCACCTCCTTTAGACTTATGTTGTAGGCGTACCTGTGGGGAGACTAGGGTGACACCAGGGCCTCCACTGGCCCTTCAGCATGCTGTAGAAATAAGACTTTGACAGAGCATTGGAGGAGAGAAAGTTGGATGGAACAACATGGAAGGAGAGGGCTTAAGAAGGAAAAAAAATCTATGCTGAGGCTAGAACCTAATGCTCTCCTTGCTCCAAAGACTACTGGCCTTCTCCATTTGGGATGTCAAGGGATAGGTTCCTATTTGGAAAAGAAACACTTAGGAGAAAACCCCTACCTGCCTGGGATTACCCCAAGGAGACCAGGGAGGGGCTGCTCTTACTTGAGAGAGTTGATTTCCAGGACTAGATTGTCACAAGAAATATTCTCCTCTTTGCCCCGCTGAAGTGTTCCCAGGACTTCATTCTGGAACACTAAAATCAAAGCAAGAATAAGTTCATGGGCCAACATCACTGCAGAAGCCTTTGGCTAGTTGATCTAGGCCAGGCGTCCTCAAATTAAGGCCCAAGGGCCACATGCGGGTGTTTTTGCCTGTTTGTTTTTTTATTTCAAAATAAGATATGTGCAGTGTACATAGGAATTTGTTCATAGTTTTTTTTAAGCTATAGTCTGGCCCTCCAATGGTCTGAGGGACAGTGAACTGGCCCCCTGTTTAAAAAGTATGAAGGCTGGGCGCGGTGGCTCACGCCTGTAATCCTAGCACTCTGGGAGGCCCAGTCGGGCGGATTGCTCGAGGTCAGGAGTTCAAAACCAGCCTGAGCAAGACCCTGTCTCTACCAAAAATAGAAAGAAACTAATTGGACAACTAAAAATATATATACAAAAAATTAGCTGGGCATGGTGGCGCATGCCTGTAGTCCCAGCTACTCAGGAGGCTGAGACAGGAGGATCACCTGAGCCCAGGAGTTTGAGATTGCTGTGAGCTAGGCCGACGCCATGGCACTCACTCTAGCCTGGGCAACAAAGCAAGACTCTGTCTCAAAAAATAAAATAAAATAAAATAAAAAGTATGAAGACCTCTGATCTAGGCAAAGAGTAAACTAGGGACTTTCCTCCTTTTTCCAGGGCATTGCTCCTCTGGCCTCTCACCTATGAAGACCTCTGATCTAGGCAAAGAGTAAACTAGGGGCTTTCCTCCTTTTTCCAAGGCATTGCTCCTCTGGCCTCTCACCTTTGATGTCATCCATTTGAGGGGACCCTGTCCGGCTGTCCAGCTCCTCAGAATCCATACTTCGCTCACTCTCACTTTCACTTTCTTCTTCCATGTTGATCCTGAGTCCTGAGGATCCATAAAGGATGAAGAAAAAAATAAGGAAAGAGCCACTGACAAAGAGTAATATATCTGTCCTGTCTATACGAATAAACGAATGTACAAGTAATGTACTTCTAAAATATTCATTATCCTTCAAAATATTCAGATTTTAGTAGAAGGAAGAAGGCAGGCATAAGGCCTAGCTCACCCCACAGATTCTGTCGTAGTTCCTCCTCTTCCTCCATGTTCATGTCTGCAACTTTCCAGAGGTAGCCCTGGCCTGCAACTCCTACTTCTGCTGGATTGTAACCTGGAAAAGGCATTGATCTATACAGAAGGCCTAGCAGAAGCACCAATCCCTCCAGGAGGAAACATTCATTTTCCTATGGGGCAGAGAGAGACACATAGATGCCCCACACCTGTTGAGCCTCACACCTTTCATCTTCACTTTCTCTTTTTCTTGACCAGCCCCAGAATCATCACTGAATTGGCCATCATCTTCATCTTCCTCTGCATCTGGAGGGTGCAAAGAGATCACCGAGCCCTCTGGCAGCGTGATGTCTGGGCCCACTATCACCTAGGGGAGAAAAAAAAGAGTGGATGACACAGAACCATCAGTGTGTTGAGGAAAAGTCCTGACAATGAGAGAGTGATTTTTTTTCCACTAAGCTAAGTAGAAGGTAAAAGAAACCACTTGATTTGTACTTTCAAGCCAGATTGGATTATGGGTGGAAATAAGGACTCTCTGGCTCAGTACGATTACCACTCGATTTGGGGCCTGTGCATAGTATGGAGCAGGTCTCACCTGGGAAGTGAGGACACAGCGTGGCTTCAGTATAACTCGTTCCTTGACTTCAGCATTGTCACAGAGCAGAGACTGATGGATCTGTGCTCCAGCAGCTACTCGAACACCCTGCCACAAATAGGCCTGGTCCAGCACCACATTATCACCTGGCTCAGGATGGAAAGGACTCCTGGTCACTCAAGGCGCAGACTAGAGCCCTTTATGGAGGCCAGGGCTGACTGACACCAACACAGCTCTTACCTAGCTCTATCACACCATCCCCTCAATTCACCAGAAACACCCACTCACTCTCTAAGCCCAGGCCTGTGCATAGAACATTGCTTAGCCTGACCATCCTCTACCAGGTTTACAATAATTATGGACTATCTATCAGGCTTAAGAACCCGAGAACCTTCAATATTCCTGGGGACCCCTTGAACTCATGAACCTTACTAGAACCGTATCCATGTCTGTAAAGAGAACCAAATTATTCCACTTCTTCTTGTACATTTTAGAGTCTGAATATTATTGTTCTTTTAAAGAGGTAGTACTATTCGAAGCATCACATTCCTACAACCAAAATGAGTTGCCAAGAGGCTAATTAGGCAGTTATAATAAAGTAAAAAGAACACTGGACTTACAGCCAGAATTCCCAAATTCAAGGCCCACTATTGCCTCTTATTAGCTATGACCTTGGGTGAGACAATGTCTTTGAGCTTGTTTATGTATCTATAAATTAGGAATAAACAACATCTATCTCACAAGGTTTTTGTGAGGATTAATGAAACAATGTATGTAAAAGCCCTTTGTAAACTATAATGCAGTAAATAAATGTTGTTGTTGCTGTTAATTATCCACTTGGTCCTGAATGTAAAATACAGGCTACCACGGAATGTGGAGAGTCATCCAATAAAAGCTCACAGGCCACAAATTAAAGTATCAGTCTTTTCAAATCTGTTTCCTCCTTTCTTAAGGTAGCCACTCAAGTTCCTTATTCCCAGGGACTGCCCCCTGTGTATCCATCCTTGTTTCTGGAGACACAGGACCCCCCAGGTTCCTGCTCCTAGGATAGCTGCCTTGATTCCCCATCTGTGCTCACCAATGTGGCAGCCAGGACCAATGACACTGTTGGTGATGGAGCAATTGCTACCAATGACAGTGCCAGAGCCCAGGAGCACATTTTCCTCCAGGATGCTTCCATGGCCCAGGCTGACCTCAGGCCCTCGGTAGATGTTGTGCCGGGAATGAGTGCAGCTCTGGGTGGTGCTGTCAGTGAAGTTTGCCTCGGGGGTGAGAGGGTAGACCCATCGGCGGATGACATCAGTGCACACAGCTGAGTACATGTGTAGGTTGGAGACCCGGGCACCATATTCCCTAGTTGTTACATGCATGTGGATCTGGTTGCCTAGGATCTGAATGAGAAGGAAAGGGAGATCAACCAAACAAGGAAGACAGAAAGAACGCCCCCACATACAGCACCTTTCTAATCCTCATAGGTTCTGCTCTGCCTCTGTTAACAGCCCGAATGGCCTAAGACTTTTCTTCCTGTACTGTTCTCCTCCTCCTCCCTCCTAAGGTTCACAAAAGGAACCAAAAGTTACCAGCATGAGATAAAATCATATCCTTCTCCTAAAGAGGCATAGTAAGCCCTTTCTTACCTCCTCATTCACTAACAGTCCTCGCACAAAGTCATCTCGAGTTTGGTAGTCAAAGTTGTCTGTGAAGAGTTGAGCCACCTGGGGGGTAAAGTGGGGTGGTCTAAGGTTAGGTGTTATTCTTTGGAAGCATAGATAAGCAAGCCCTCAGAGACCTATCACACCCTAGACATTGGGTATAGTCCAGAATCCCAAAGAAATTCCCAATGGCATACTGGGGACAAGATGACAGCACCTCTTTGCTTTAGAACAGATAAGAAAAAGAGGGAGAAAAATATAGTCCGGCTTTCTAAGGGGGGCAATAATATACTCTCAGAGTTTTACTCTTTGGATGTGTGGCCTTGGCCTGAAGAGCTCACCTGAGGAGAGCAGATGCTGATATGACAATCCAGTAAATCATATCGAATCTCCACTCCATCTCCATTGCCCTGAAATAGGCTCTGTAGGGAGAAGTTACAAGGACTTTAAATTGTTTCTCCTGTTGAAGCCTGCTAATTTCCTACCTCAAGGACCCCAGATACCCACACACCAGAGGAAATGAAAAACGTCGGAGGCCCTGGGTCTTCTGAAAATGGAGAATCCGGTTTGTGGCACTATCCACAGCCACTACCACATTGTCCTCTTGGCAACGAGTCGGGTGGCTGGGGGACGACTCCTTGAAGATCATTGTCATCACAGATACATTTTTTTCTAGCTTCCGCCGCAACCTATAAAGGATAGAAAGGAAAAAGCTGCAAAAAAGCAGTCACAGGGCTTTGCTGGTTCCTAACCCTTGTCCCTGTCATTCTCCCATCCTGACCTGTGTTCCTCAAGGGCTCTGGTAATATTGATGTTTGAAATGACATCCCCATACACAAGAAGGAAATCAGAGCGCACCAAGGCCTTGGCATCAACATCACGGAGGACATCTCCCAGTGATCGATATAATTCTGATGTAATTATTCGAACCACATTGAGGGACGTAGGGCGGCACCACTTGGATTTCCTAAAGGAAGGTGGGGTTGAGGGGAATGTGTAAATCAAGCATAAATATCATATGAACCTTCCCTGTTTTTCTCCCCCATTCAGCACTCACACTCCTTCTCTATGGCTTTTTTGGGTTCTTGCCAGCGTCCTCAACTTCAAAGAGATTTATGAACTATAATTAATGCTTTCAGCATCCTGTGTCACCAGTCTTGTTTTATGGCATAGAGAAACATAGTTATTTCCTCTCCATACCTTGATACCTGTCCTCAAACATGGATTTGGACTCAAAATCTTGCTGAAACCTAGGGTACACAAAGTACCCCAGGAACACACTTTTTTCATGTCAGCTTTCTCCTTGTGAAGTCTATATAAAATTTAGGAACTGTCTGATGGAGACCATGCTAATATCCTAAACTTCCATAAATCCTGAGATTTAGTCATTTTTGAGATTTCAACAGTTGTTAAGTGCTCATCATGTGCTTGGCACTAAGCTAGGCAGTGGGAATATAAAGATGAAGAAGAGCTCATTTTTGTCTTCGAGGGTCTGAGCAAATATTATTTAAAAACTCAGTGAAAAAACAAATATGTTATTTTTGTAACTTCAATATTAAACCCATTAAATAAAAAGCAAGCCCACTGGGACCAAACTTTATAAGTGAGATTCAGAAAAATCCCAGTGTTATTCTTTAATCTTTGTCACAGGAACCCCAAGACAGGTAGATATAAGGCTTCAGCTGCTCACCGTCTGATAATTTAAGAAAACACTCTTAGAATTTACAATGGGATCTACATAGACACATTTTTTTTTCCCTTTACATTTCCCCTTACTAAATTACTTCCATCCTGAAAAAACTGGAAAAAGGTGGTGAAACATGGAAAGAAAACTTGGAGGATCTTACAGTAAATGTTCTTTGATTTGAGCCGCCTTCCAGCAACAAAAGACAAAGGTTTCCTGTACACCTGTGGCAGTCAGGAATTCCAGAGTGTAGTCAATTAATGCCACGTTGGCTAGGGGCAAGAGGACCTGGAGAATAGGATGTAAAAAAATTGGATCTGTTAAGGGCTCTTTGGTTACATCACTACAATAATAATTTTCACTCCTCTATGAGTATTTCCAAACACTATAGTTTTGCTTTATCCTTTCAATTCAAAGGCAAAGGTTCCCATCTTTGATGTTCATGGCTTGCTCTAAGCTTCAGAGTCTAAGATGTTACAATTTGGGCATAATAAGCACAGAAGCTATTTGTCTAGTATCAGACAGAGCTGTGATAGACTAGCAGACCATTACTGACAAAGGATAATAATGGAAATCAATCAAGTCTCCATACATTTAAGCACTACTAAGGCCTTCTTCCCCACAAAAATTTCCTTCCTTGGTCCCTTTTTAAGAGTCAGGAGCTGTTACTCTCCATCACTGTTCAAAAAACAAGCATTAGGCTTTTTTTGGGGAGATTTGGAGAGAATTTTTCCTAAACCCAATGCAGTTCCCTCTCTTTGATAGAACTGGGTACTGCCAAGTGACCAAGCAATTCCCAGAGCCAGCTCAGTCCAGTTCTCCACTGTCTAGACAATTCAGGGGCTAATGGCAACCAACCGCTAAACCCATTTTGTCCTCCTTTTTACAGAAGGCACTGGCTGTCATTAAAATCTGAAAGGAAAAAAAGTACACTGCCTTAGATCTAGCCCGCTCTTTTTAAGGCATCTTAAGGGTCTTTCAGAGGCAAAGGGTGGTGTTTCTTTTCACCTAAGTGTCTCTCCTGTGCAAGGTTAAAGGCGGCGCAGCCTCCTCTAGGGGCATTGATTCCTGGTGTGCAGGCTTCTCTCCAGCACCGTTTCTACATTTAGTACTCTCCATTCCTGTCAAACCTGAGGTGGACAGCAATACGAATGTCCCAATCAGCCAGGTCACGGCTTTAGACTGTCCCTCCTCCGCCTTCCTCCTAACTAGATAAGCTCGGTTTTAGGATAACAGGATGGACATAAGTACTTCCAAGGCACGCTGCACTAGACAGCCGAAAGTATAACTTACTCCAGCCCCGCCACCCTCCAGGCCCTCTGGCCGCTTGCGTGCGCTGTGCTCACCCGAGGCTGGTCTTTGGATATCGGGAAGAAGCGGCGGTTGAAGCTGTCGGCCACCAGAACTGCTTGTAGGGGCGGCGGCGGTTCCTCTTCCGCCCCTCTGGCTCCCCCACCGCCGCCGCCGCCTCCCGGCCCGCCGCCGCTGCGTTTGTTGGCCCGACCGGCCGCCGCACCAGGCGGCGCCACCACGGTGGCCGCCATCTTCTTCTCTCACGGCCACCACTTCCGCAGGGAAGCTGACACCGCACGCAGTAGGGGACAAAAAGGATCCAGCACTTGAAAAACGAAGGGCTAACTAACGTAGGGAGGGGAAGAGAAGGGAGAAGTGCGCATGCGTCTTCCCATCACACACACTATGTCTGAGGTGTGAGCCTAGGGCAGTGAGGGGTGGGATTATGCCGGTTGTCCTGCTCAGTGGAGGCGCAGGGTGGAGCTCCGGTCCCTTAGACGTCAGACACCGTCTGCAAGTATTGTAGGCCTTCACGTGTACGTGAACGAACCGAGAATCTCGTGGCATGATGGGACTTGTGGTTGCCGCGAGGGGGCCAGATCCATCCGAGATCTGTAATCGTCCAGTGGTTTCCCCGCCCCGAGCACGTTAAAAATCGTAGTCCTGGCCGGGCGCGGTGGCTCACGCCTGTAATCCTAGCATTCTGGGAGGCCGAGCGGGCGGCGGATCGCTCAAGGTCAGGAGTTCGATACTAGCCTGAGCAAGAGCGAGACCCGTCTCTACTATAAATAGAAATAAATTAATTGGCCAGCTAAAAATATATAGAAAAAATTAGCCGGGCATGGTGGTACATGCCTGTAGTCCCAGCTACTCGCGAGGCCGAGGCAGGAGGATCGCTTGAGCCCAGGAGTTTGAGGTTGCTGTGAGCTAGGCTGATGCCACTGCACTCAAGCCCGGGCAAGAGAGTGAGACTCTGTCTCAAAAGAAAAAAAATCATAGTCCTTCATATTCATTCTGAGTAGACCTCGTCTCATGGGACCTGGCGCCTTGGGGAGCTGGAACCGAATCAGACTTCCCCTCCCCGCAGGGAATCCACATAAATACGGAACGTGGTATTGTAGGGAGAGTAGTAATTCTGCTGAGCGATGATTGGGGAACACGCACGATACAAGCATTATCTCATTTAATTCGTCACACACCTCTGCAAGACATTTTATCGTTCGTTCAACAAACACTACTTGAACTCTGAGAGGGAAGTTCACGCAGCTAGGAAGTGGAAGAACGGGCATTGGAACCCGATATGTCTGACTTCATAGTTCCACAATCTTTCTGCCAAGTTATGTGGGGATAACAGTGACTATTTTATGATGTCTTCATCTATTCATTCATTCAGCCTATCAGCCTACTCTGTCTTTTTTTTTTTTTGAGACAGTCTGGCTTTGTTGCCCAGGCTAGAGTGAGTGCCGTGGCGTCAGCCTAGCTAACAACAACCTCAAACTCCTGGGCTCAAATAATCCTGCTGCCTCAGCCTCCCAAGTAGCTGGGACTACAGGCATGTGCCACCATGCCCGGCTAATTTTTTCTATATATATTAGTTGGCCAATTAATTTCTATTTGTAGTAGAGACGGGGTCTCGCTCTTGCTCAGGCTGGTTTCGAACTCCTGACCTCGAGCAATCCGCGCACCTCGGCCTCCCAGAGTGAGCCTACTCTGTCTTAAGCAGAGTGGAGACGCGGAAGGACCCAAGAACACCAGCTACGTTGAGTAGGACTGGAGTAAAGCTGCAAACTTTCCAGGCAGAGGAAACTGCGAGCCAAAGGCCAGATGCTGAATGGGCGCAGCAAGTTTCCGGGAAAGAAGCGGTGACTGCCGAGAGTAGAACAAGGCTGGCATGGAGAGGCGGCGGAAGAGAGGCAAGGAGCTTTCCAGCAAGGCACCGTGCCTTTCTGCGCGGGAACTGTCCGAATTCCGCAGCCACAGGATGCTGCAGTTTCTGCAAATGTTGTTCCCACCCCCTGCCCCGCGGTGCACGTCGGGATTTGGAGTTCGCAGGACAAGAGTTGTTGCCACGTGGCGATTCCGACTTGAGTCACTGGACTCCGGCCCCCTCCTTGTGGGACCAAGGAGTCTGTCAGTTCTTCCCTCCTGAGGGCGCTGAGCGGAAGCCATTTGGTTTTGGAAAGTTTAGCCTGGAGGAAAAAAGGCAGAAGGCAACTCGGTAAAGGCTTTCTATGAAACGAATGTCCGTTGTGGAGGAAGGTATTCAGCTGCCCTCCAAATTCAGAGTCAGAAATAAAGGGGGGGGGGAGGAATGAAGTAGGACTAGCAAGGAAGTAATAGCACACCTACACGCAGAGGTGAGAGGTTGAGAGGGTATGGAAAATAGGTCAGATTGTAGAAATTTATTGGTAAAAATTCAAGGGGTATAAAGGGCAATTTTGTTACATGGATACGTTGCATAGTGCTAAAGTTTGGACTTTTAGTGTATCCGTCATCACCTGAATAGTGTACATTGTACCCAGTAAGTAACTTTTTATCCCTCACCCCTCTCCCGCTCTCCTGCCATTCTGAGTTTCCATTGTCTATTATTTCACATTTTGCTTCCATGTAGACATGTTATTTAGCTCCCACTTATTAGTGAGAACATTCAGAGTTCGGCCTTCCGAATTGTTTTACTTAAGATAATGGTTTCCTCAGACAACTGACTTGTTTGGCAAAAAAAAAAAAAGATAATGGTTTCCGATTCCTTCCATGTTGCTGCAAAAGACATGCTTTCATTCTTTTTTAATAGCTGAATAATATTCCATTGTGTATATGTACCACATTTTCTTTATCCAATCATCTGCTTAAGGACACTTCGGTTGATTCCATGTCTTTGCTATTGTGAATAGTGCTGTGATAAACATGCAGGTGTCTTTTTTTTTTTTTTTTGAGACAGAGTCTGGCTTTGTTGCCAGGCTAGAGTGAGTGCTGTAGAGTCAGCCTAGCTCACAGCAACTTCAAACTCCTGGGCTCGAGCAATCCTACTGCCTCAGCCTCCCGAGTAGCTGGGACTACAGGCATGTGCCACCATGCCCGGCTAATTTTTTCTATATATATATTAGCCGGCCAATTAATTTCTTTCTATTTATAGTAGAGAGGGGGTCTCGCTCTTGCTCAGGCTGGTTTTGAACTCCTGACCTTGAGCAATCCGCACACCTCGGCCTCCCAAAGAGCTAGGATTACAGGGGTGAGCCACCGCACTGGCCATGCAGGTGTCTTTTTGATACACAAAGATTTCTTTTCCTTTGGGTGGATACCCAGCAGTGGGATTGCTGGATCCAATGGTAGTTCTGTTTTTAGTCCTTTAAGAAATCTCCATACTGTTCTATAGAGGTTCTACTAATTTACATTCCTACCAACAGTGTATAAGTGTTTCCTTTTCTTAGCATGTTCACCAACATTTTTTGATTTTTTAATAATAGCCATTCTGAGATGGTATCTCAATGGTGGTTTTAATTTGCATTTTTCTGATGATTAGTGATTTTTTCATATACTTGTTGGCCATATGTATGTCTTTTAAAAAATGTCTATTCATGTCCTTTGTCCAGTTTTTAATGGGGTTATTTGTATTTTTATTCTTATTGTCGAATTGAGTTCCTTGTGAATTCTAGATATTAGTTCTCTGTCAGTTGCCTAGTTTGCAGATATTTTCTCCCATTCTGCAAGTTGTCTGCTCACAGTTGTAGACATTTTTAAATGACTCCTGCAACCTTGAGAAGTGGTGAATCTGCTGCAGAAGGCACTTGTGCATGTGGTAATCCAGGTCTTGCAATTCTGTAGAAAGGTAACTGAATGGATACAATTTTAATAAATGAGCCTCAGGGAGACTGTCTTACTCTGTTAATTTTTGTTCAAAACTTACTCAAGGGGGAGGGGGGGCATGGGCAATATATGTAACCTTAACACTTATACCCCCATAATATGCTAAAAAAAAAAAAAACTTACTCAAAAGATACTGAAAACCACACATACATAACCACACACACACAGAACTACATAAATAAGAAAAATTCCTTCCCCCACTTCTCTCATCTTACCCAACCCTCAAAGTTAAACCATTCTTAACAATTTGATGAGCATTCTTTCCACTTCCCCCTTAATTTTATATATATAGAACTAGAGATATAATATATGCCTACGCATATATACACCATACACACATGTTCAAATATAGTATAGCTATATCCACACATATTCAAACACAGAATTAGAATTTTGCTTAGAGACAGTATACTTACTTTATTATTATATGCTGATATGTCAGAGCCAGACTGCCTGGGTTCCATTCCAGGCCCCAGTCTGGGTACCTTTTCTGGCTGGGTAACTTTGGGCAGGTTACTTAATCTCTCTATGTCTGGTCTTCTTCATCTTTGAAATGGGATAATAATAGTACTTGTCTCATAAAGTTGTTGTGAAATTTAAATGAAGTAATATATGAAAAACCCTTAGAATAGTGTTTGACATATTGTTAATGTATTAATATTAGCTATGATGATGATGATTATGCATTTTTGTCTGCAACTTAATTTTTATTTGATATATGGTGGAATGTAGACAAACCTAGCTACTTTCAATGATTCCACAATATTCTGTAGTATGAATATACCATTTTTTTATCCAACCATTTCTTTATTGATAAATGTTCATATTTTTGGAAGATTTTACAATTACAAATAAGGCTATAACAAGCATACTCCTATGTATCTTTATAAATTTGCATTTATTTCTTAGAATTTATTCTTTTTGGTTTTTTTTGAGACAGTGTCTCACTCTGTTGCCTGGGCTAGAGTGCTGCGGCATCAGCCTAGCTCACAGCAACCTCAAACTCCTGGGCTCAAGCAATCCTCCTGCCTCAGCCTCCTGAGTAGCTGGGACTACAGGCATGTGCCACCGCGCCTGGCTAATTTTTTCTATTTTTAGTTGTTTGGCTAATTTCTTTCTATTTATAATAGAGACAGGGTCTCGCTCTTGCTCAGGCTGGTCTCGAACTCCTGACCTCGAGCAATCTGCCCGCCTTGGCCTCCCAGAGTGCTAGGATTACAGGCGTGAGCCACCATGCCCAGCCAGAATTTATTCTTAAAGGGTAGTGTCTGGTTCAAATTGGATACAATTTCTATGGTAGGGGTTATGCTGTTAAACTTGCTGGGAAGCCTGCAGAGGCGTTGGTGGAACTTGGAGATATTGCTTAATCGCTATCCATGGGTAATGTGCCATTTTACCCTTATGCCAGCAATGTAAGAGAGTGCCTAATTCACCATAGCCTCACCAACAGATGTCAACGGTTTGGACTTTCTGCCAATCTATAAGGGGGAAAAGGTGTAATTTAAATTTTCATTTCTTTTATTTTGAGTGAGGTTGAACGTGTTTTCATATGTTAAAGGGACCATTTGTATTTTTTTGCTAAGTGTCAGTTCTGGTTCTTTTTCCACATTTAGATTTCAAAATGAACCTTGCATATAAAATCAGTCTAGAATGTAAGCTCTGTGAAAAGCAGAGCTTTCTGAGTGTTTTGTTCACTGCTGTATTCCAGGTGTCTAGAAGAGTAACTGGCACATGGCAGATGCTGAATAA